CTCTGGGCGGCTGGTGCAGTTGGGACCATTCAAGAAGGCACTCCGGCAGGCAGAGTGGCTTCTGCTCCCTGTGATCTCAAGGCTCGGGAATGTGGGCTTCTAAATTTTTTAAATACAAGAAAAGTGCCCAAAGCCCCCCCCTGCTGTCCCCACCGTGTGCCATTTCGGCTGATCCGTACTGGACTTTACAGGAAAAAAAAGTGTCAGCTCCGAGTCCCTTGAGGCCTCAAAGTGATCACAGAAGAGGAACTTACGCTTAAGGACCCTTACCTTGTAAGGAGCTGCTCAATCACACCATAGTTTACATATGTTGGTGCAAACCGAGTGGAAAAGGAAGCCCTTTTCTTTACCTATGTATTCCTTGAGAGGAGGACAGACTAGTAAAACATTTTGGTAGACAGTTTGGATTCTTTTGTCCTTAGTCATGAGGCTGATGTAATAGCATTCAACTGATTTCATGGTCAAGACAGTCACAGTTCCCAGAGAAATCCTTTCCCCTTGTGCCACTGAAGGCACTCCATTCCTACTGCAGCCAGGAACTGGTAGGCGAGTCCTTCCTCCTTCCAAGCTTGGGTGGGATGCACGCAGCCACTTGTTTTCTGAAAGATGAAGATGTCCTGGATTTTAAGAATGTCCTGTCTGACCTCATTCCTGTGTGTCTAGCCTTGGGGAACAGAATTCGCTGCTGGTCCAGCTTCAGGAGGAGGGCAAGGCTTGCAAACTCTGAGCCCCACAGCCTGTGAGATTAGTGTGACTCGGGAGGAATGTGCTTGGGAGGGAGATGGGATGACGAGAGGGGTGGCCAGTCCTACTCATGGCTGGGTTTCACGCTCTCCTTCCTTCTCACCCCCACTGCCTGTGGTTTCAAAGTTTGTTCTACATTAAGATGCATCAATTCTCAACTATTCCACTGGAATAGAAACATACACTTATTTTACGGTAATAAGGCTCGTTTAAATGAAAGCTGCACATCTAAGAATACGCTACTTATCAATTTTTTTTTTTTTTTTTGAGATGGAGTCTTGCTCTGTCACCTAGGCTGGAGTGCAGTGGCTCTATCTCGGCTCACTGCAACCTCTGCCTCCTGGGTTCAAGCAATTCTCCAGCCTCCGGAGTAGCTAGGATTACAGATGTGCACCAACACGCCTAGCTAATTTTTGTATTTTTTTTTTTTTTTTTTTTTTTTTGAGATGGAGTTTCACTCTTGTTACCCAGGCTGGAGTGCAATGGCACGATCTCGGCTCACCACAACCTCCGCCTCCTGGGTTCAGGCAATTCTCCTGCCTCAGCCTCCTGAGTAGCTGGGATTACAGGCACGCGCCGCCATGCCCAGCTAATTTTTTGTATTTTTAGTAGAGACGGGTTTCACCATGTTGACCAGGATGGTCTCGATCTCTTGACCGTGTGATCCACCCGTCTCGGCCTCCCAAAGTGCTGGGATTACAGGCTTGAGCCACCGCGCCCGGCCCTAATTTTTGTATTGTGTTTTTTTTTTTTTTTTTTTTTTTTTTTTGAGACGGAGTTTCACTCTCCTTACTCAGGCTGGAGTGCAATGGCGCGATCTCGGCTCACCGCAACCTCCGCCTCCTGGGCTCAGGCAATTCTCCTGCCTCAGCCTCCTGAGTAGCTGGGATTACAGGCACGCACCACCATGCCCAGCTAATTTTTTGTATCTTTAGTAGAGACGAGGTTTCACCATGTTGACCAGGATGGTCTCGATCTCTTGACCTCGTGATCCACCCACCTCGGCCTCCCAAAGTGCTGGGATTACAGGCTTGAGCCACCGCGCCCGGCTTGTATTGTTAATAGAGATGCAGTTTTACCATGTTGGACAGGCTGGTCTTGAACTCCTAACCTCATGATCTGCCTGCCTCCACCTCCCGAAGTTCTGGGATTACAGGCATGAGCCACCGCACCAGGCACACTTATCAATTATTAAAGGTAGAGATAGAAGATACCAGTGTGGAGTAGTGACCACGTTCTGGGCCAGAAAGTCAAGTCCTGAGTTTATTTCTTGTCCTGCCATCAACTCACCCCGACCTCAGACAAGGAGAACACGGAACCTTCTCTGGGCCCCAGTACCCCGTCCACAAAGACACATTGCCTATCAGCCTACGCTAGCCTACCAGCTGTTGTGATGGTGAAATAAGAGAATATAGAGAATAGTGCTGCATATACCACCAATGCTGAACAAAACGGGGGTACAATTTGAGTATTAAGAGGTTGCTTTAAGAACTGTGATAGGGCCGGGCGCGGTGGCTCAAGCCTGTAATCCCAGCACTTTGGGAGGCCGACGCGGGCGGATCACGAGGTCAAGAGATCGAGACCATCCTGGTCAATGTGGTGAAACCCCGTCTCTACTAAAAATACAAAAAGTTAGCTGGGCATGGTGGTGCGTGCCTGTAATCCCAGCTACTCAGGAGGCTGAGACAGGAGAATTGCCTGAAGCCAGGAGGCGGAGGTTGCGGTGAGCCGAGATCGCGCCATTGCACTCCAGCCTGGGTAACAAGAGCGAAACTCCGTCTCGAAAAAAAAAAAAAAAAAAAAGAACTGTGATAGACCGCTAGGGGTGGTGGCTCATGCCTGTAATCCCAGCACTTTGAGAGGCCGAGGCAGGCGGATCACCTGAGGTAGGGAGTTCGAGACCAGCCTGACCAACATGGAGAAACTCTGTCTCTACTAAAAATGCAAAATTAGCTGGGTGTGGTGGTGCATGCCTGTAATCCCCGCTACTTAGGAGGCTAAGGCAGGAGAGTCGCTTGAACCAGGGAGGCGGAGGTTGTGGTGAGCTGAGATGGTGCCACTGCACTCCAGCCTCAGCAACAACAAAATAACTGTGATAGAATCTGTGAGGAGCTCCCCAAGAGATCAAAGTCTTGATGGACTATTGGGAGGCTTTGGGGGCATCTCAAGCCTTCTGAGGCTGGCTTCAGGGCAGGCAAGGACCCAGCATCCTCAGAGACTGTGAGGCTGCATGGTTGGGCCCAATCCGAGAGAACAAGCCATCCAAACTCCAGGAACGGGCTTTCATGAAAATCTAGAAGAAACCCAACCTGCTGCCTATCATGTGTAACGAAAGACAAACTCACAACCTGGCTCAATTTTCTCTCAGCAAAAGATCCCGTTCTGCTGGGGACACTTTGGACACAATTTGGTGTCCTTCCCTTATCTAGATCTAATTGAGCCTTCCCTGACTTTCCTTCTTATTTGCCAGGTTTTTTTGTTTCGTTCTGAGACGGGGTCTCACCTTGTCACCCAGGCTGGAGTGCAGTGGTGTGATCTCAGTGCACTGTGACTTCTGCCTCCCAGGCTCAAGCAATCCTCTCACCTCAGCCTCTGGAGTAGCCGGGACCACAGGCATGTGCCACCATGCCTGGCTCATTTTTTTGGGGGGTATTTTTGGTAAAGACAGGATTTCACCATGTTGCCCAGGCTGGCTGGTATTGAACTCCTGAGGCTCTGCAGGTCACTTGTATCATTTGGGAAAGTCATGTCCCCTCTGGCCTCCATGAGCCTGAGTAACCCTTGCAGGGTAAATTGCTGACAGTGGAGCGCCAGTGCTTGGCCCTCAGGTTAGCCAATGTCGCCATCTAGAGGCAATTCAAAAGTTCCTTGCAGCAAGGGGTAACCTCTATTTTTGTAATTCCTGAAGGGTCCTTTTTCTTGTCTGTCGAAGTTCAGAAGCCCTCTTGTCCACGGGGTAGCTTTGGCTGCGTCTGACTCTAGGGAAGCCCTCCTCCAAAACCAGGCTGACACGATGCCAAGGCATGGGCACAGCTGCTTCCTGTCGATTCCAATGCCCCCTCCTGTTACATTCATTCACTACGCCAGATCGTAAAAAATAAATCTTTTAATTGCTTTGTAATTGGCACAGATGGTATAATTCAAATTCACATTTTTATTTAATAGACTCTGAAATATCACACTGTAGCTCTCATTGAAACAGTACAGAAATGATAATGTTTAAGTTATAAAAGTACATTCAGCAGCAGCATCACGTTTTGAAAGTTACTTGTAAAATCAAAGGCAGGCTTGACGAAATAAGAGAAAAAGCCATCTAGAACATAAAAAACAAGCCATCTGCCGTGACTACTGGAGAACGGTGTTTTGGGACTTTCTGAAGATCTTGCTACTTTATTAATGATCCAGAGGCGTTGCACAATTCTGGCTTGTAGTACAGTGGGGAAGCTGTAACCTTGCCTGGAAAGTGCTCCTCAGGATAAGGAACGTCAAAGGCAGGCTTTGTTGAAACCATGTGCCTGAACAGGCTTTGAAGGAATCTTTCATTTCTTAGGAGTAATGAGATTCACTGGTCTTTGATTTAAAAAAATTATCCTAAGGAGGATTATAGTAGAGATAACATTAAATTCTCATCACTGTAGGTCCCATAGGAAAAACTTGAAGTCCCCTCTCTTCAGGATGATGTCAGAAATGCCTAAGTCCTGCTTATGTTACCCCTTAATTTCAAGAATACCACAGAGTGGCAGTGACACAAGCTCTCATTACCAAATTAATTTTTTTTTTTTTTTTTTTTTTTGAGACGGAGTTTCTCTCGTTACCCAGGCTGGTGTGGAATGGTGTGATCTCGGCTCACCGCAACCTCCGCCTCCTGGGTTCAGGCAATTCTCCTGCCTCAGCCTCCTGAGTAGCTGGGATTACAGGCACGAGCCACCATGTCCAGCTAATGTTTTGTATTTTTAGTAGAGACGGGGTTTCACCATGTTGACCAGGATGGTCTCGATCTCTCGACCTCGTGATCCACCCGCCTCGGCCTCCCAAAGTGCTGGGATTACAGGCTTGAGCCACCGCGCCCGGCCCCTTAATTTTTTTTTAAAGAGACAGGCTGTCTCTAAAAAAGGTGGGAGGTATTATCTGCATATTAAAAGGTTGCTTTAAGAAATGTGGCAGAATCTATGAAGAACTCCCCAAGAGATCAAAGCCTTGATGGATTATTGGGAGATTTCTCTTTTCTTTTGTTTTTGAGGTGGATTCTGTCACCCAGGCTAGAATACAGTGGTACAATCACAGCTCACTGAAGCCTTAAGCTGCTGGGCTCAAGTGATTCTTCCACCTCAGCCACCATGCCCCGTTAATTTTTAATTTTTTTGTAGAGACGGGGTCTCCTGATGTTGCCCAGGCTGGTCTTGAACTCCTAGGCTCAGGCGATCCTTCTGCCTCCACCTCTTAAATTGCTGAGATTACAGGCATGAGTCACCATGACTGGCCAGCAACAATTTGTGTTTGGAGAATTAGCCCGAGCCACTTCCTGAAGCTACCTATACTGCTATTCCAGAGTCGAGAACATCTTCCCATATCTACTGGCTAGGGAATAATCTGGGGGCAGAAATCACTCTGTTGCAGAACAGAAATTTAGACGATGTAGTAGGAGTTTGTAGGGAGTTGTTAACCACAAGGAATTTCCTATTAAAATGGGGTGGAAGAGGGGAATCCCTCTGACTTCTACGATTATAGGCATCAGTGACCAAAGTTTGACCTGGAAAAGGCGTTCATGGACCAGTTCCTGCTCCTGGGCAGAATTCAATATTGAACGTGATTCCTGGCTATTGATTTGATATCTGTTCTGCAGAAATGTTTGAATTTCTCAAACTCAATTCAAAGCTGCTGCTTGAAGGGAGCTTCCTATGTCAGAGACTAAGCACAGACGGTTTCCATGAACACACGTGATCATTAGTGCTCTCCGCAGGTCACAGGAGAGCAGGACTGCGCTGGGACACAGGGAATATCAAACTGAAAACCTAGGTTAGTGCATAGTTAGTGTTCTCGGTATTCCCTGGCTCAGTGCTCCTGGGCCACCTCCGCCGGGGCCTTCACGTCCGCTGCGCACCTGTCCGGTGTAGCTTTCTTTGAGTAATCCCGTTCTCCAAAAATGGTGCTTCCTATTCGGACATTCGTAGATCCTACTTCAATCTGTTGGGAAAGAAGAGACGGCATCGAGGACCAGGTTTAAAATAACGAAGTGGGGCCAGGTGTGGTGGCTCACGCCTGTAATCCAAGCACTTTGGAGGCCAAGGCGGGCGGACCACCTGAGGTCGGGAGTTCAAGACCAGCCTGACCAACATGGTGAAACCCCGTCTTTAAAAAAAAAAAAATAACGAAGCGGAGCCAGTGCCCAAGCTGTGCTCCCATTCTGGCTCTCAGGAGCCTTCCATGAAGAACAGTAACACTGCCGAAGATGGCTCCGGGGCAGCTGCTCTCCTGAGAGGCAGTTCAACCTCTGAGAGTGTATATAGGAAACAAGTAGGGGTTTCTCTGGGTTTCTAGTGGTTGGGGAGTGTGGCTGGCACTCAGCTAGGTGGGGGTCAAGGATGCCGGATGTCCAGTGTGGAAAGCAGCCAAACAGCAAAGAGTTGTCTTACAGCCCACCTACCTTTCCAATGTGCCATGGTCAGGTAGATGAAAACAATATCCTTATGATTATCTGACCAAATTCCATTTGACTTATAAATGCAATGTATTTGCACTGTTTTAATAAATATTGTCCAGGAATGCAAGTTTATATTTTGATTTTTGAAACTTTATCAAAAGTTATTTGCTATTCCAGAAAATCATGTATTTGCACTGCCACTCCAGCACACCTATATCAGTTTATATTTACAGCTGTTGATGTACATACAAGACTGTTGGTAAACCTACACATAAGATGAAGCCTCGGCTGGGAGCTTTGGGAGGTCAAGGTGGGCGGATCATTTGAGGTCAGGAATCAAGACCAGCCTGGCCAACATGGTGAAACCTCATCTTTACTAAACATAAAAAAAAATTAGCCAGGTGTGGTGGTGGGCACCTGAAATCCCAGCTACTTGGGAGGCTGAGGCAGAAGAATCACTTGAACCTGGGAGGTGGAGTTTGCAGTGAGTTGAGACTGCGCCACTGAACTCTGGCCTGGGTAACAGAGTGACATTGTCTCCAAAAGTAAAAGATGAAGCCTCAGGCTGCTTGATTATGATTTGCTGTTATATAGCCACACCCATTTTACGTAATAAAATGCCTTTCCAAAAATTATAGCTTAAATTCTTATTTTCCTTTGGATTATACTCATGGAATTATGTTTATAATTTATGGAATTATATTTCTAATTAATTTCCTATTTTAGATCAGGCATCCCCAAACTTTTTACACAGGGGGCCAGTTCACTGTCCCTCAGACCGTTGGAGGGACGCCACATACTGTGCTCCTCTCACTGACCACCCTTCCTGAAGTGCGGCGGAGGGCCAGATAAATGGCCTCAGGAGGCCGCATGCGGCCCACGGGCCGTAGTTTGGGGACGCCTGTTTTAGATGATACTTATGGAATTATACTTCATTTTAAAATTCAAAGCCAGGTGCGGTGGCTCACGTCTGTAATCCCAGGACTTTGGGAGGCCGAGGCGGGTGGATCATGAGGTCAAGAGATCGAGACCATCCTGGTCAACATGGTGAAACCCCGTCTCTACTAAAAATACAAAAAATTAGCTGGGCATGGTGGCGTGTGCCTGTAATCCCAGCTACTCAGGAGGCTGAGGCAGGAGAATTGCCTGAACCCAGGAGGCGGAGGTTGCGGTGAGCCGAGATCGCGCCATTGTACTCCAGCCTGGGTAACAATAGCGAAACTCCATCTCAAAAAACAAAACAAAACAAAAAAACAAAACAAAAAAAATAAAATTCAGATGTCAGGCTATGATTTCTACACATTTCAAAAAAGAAAGGGAGTGGGGACTGCAAGATGCTGGAATAGCTGAGAACCCTGAGACTGGGTACCCTACTGCCACCCCGAGGCATTTCCAAGATCTCTAGCAAAGATCTGCCCTTGCGTCAGCCTCTCAGACCCCAAACCCCTGCCCCTCAAGGCAGGCAGGGCACTGGCAGGACACTCACCGCGTGCTGGAAATCCATGGACATGCCCATGCTCAGCTCAACCTGGTCAGCACGGATGTTCAGCTTTTTACACAGCTCCTCCCGGAGGGAAAATAACAGCTGACAGAAAGAGATGACACCTGTTTTACTCCTGCCTTCTCTAACGATGCCCCAAAGTGGCTGAATCTGAACTTCTCTGACAACGGTTATGTATTTCTCATGATTTCAAGGCCTGTCGAAATTGTCAGAAGTTACTGAAAGGGTTTTTTGCAAACTATCCCACTTTCAAGAAAACTATTAGTTGCTGGAGAGGAAGAAAAAGCTCATATTCTCTAAAGACCATGTTTTAGCCAATTTCAAGTTAAGTTGAGAAAGGTTTGTGGGGCTGGGGAACCTGTTCTTCCCTCTTCCTTCTGAGAAGAGTTCAGAAGAGGGAGAGAACACCCGGCAGGCAGTGTCTGATGTCTCTGCAGTCCGCACTGCAGCCGGCCCTGCAGCAGCACTCCAGCACCCTGCCTCTTAAGCACATGAGCAATCCCAACCCCCCAATACCTGGAAGTCTGGATTTGGTCCTTGACTAAGATCATGTCCAACGCTTCCTATGGTCATCAGTCCCACAAACTCCAGGCTAGGACATTTGGTGTTTATGTGCTCCACGATGGCTACAGTTTCTGAAGGTGGGAGGCCATGTTTACCTTCACGGAAAGAAACGGAAGACAGGTATACTGCAAGGGTAAATGGCCAGAGGCTTCCTCTGGCTTCCATTTTCACCCCTTCCTTATGACAGAGGAGGTGACCCCCCAACAAGAGAAACTCTTGAAAGAGGCTCAAGTCCTGAAGAGTAACTTTATTTATTTATTTATTTATTTGAGACGGAGTTTCACTCTTGTTACCCAGGCTGGAGTGCAATGGCGCGATCTCGGCTCACCGCAACCTCCGCCTCCTGGGTTCAGGCAATTCTCCTGCCTCAGCCTCCCGAGTAGCTGGGATTACAGGCGTGCGCCACCATGCCCAGCTAATTTTTGTATTTTTAGTAGAGATGCGGTTTCACCATGTTGACCAGTATGGTCTCGATCTCTTGACCTCGTGACCCACCCGCCTCAGCCTCCCAAAGTGCTGGGATTATAGGCGTGAGCCACCGCGCCCGGCCGAGTAACTTTATATACTTGGGATTTTCTATGTTGCTCTGCTTCTGGTCAGATTCTGAATTTCTCAAGGAAAGAGCTATCAATTAGATTCTCTTTCCTCCACCTCAGGATTTTAGCTGAGAACAGCTAGGAGACATGGAAAATAAAAAATCTTGCTTTTTTGGGATACCAGGAAGATTTGCATTGCCAAAATGCCAGATGAACCTGAGAATTACTTTTCTAAGTCAACAATTTTTATAGTTTATTAATTTAATAGAGTCGCAAAAAATTTAAAATAAAGTACATGTTAAACATTTTTGGATATATTTGCCAAGTTTAATTGAACTTTCTAATTAACGACTGGAAGAGAAATCTGCAGCAACCAGTTATTTGTTATGCAGTTGTAAGAGCTATTGATATTGTCTTGCCCCCATTTATTAGGGAGAGATGCCAGTAACATTTACTTCAGTCTTTAACCCGGGCTTATTATAGCTAATTATCAAGAAATGAGAAAATATAAACTTGATCTACAGTCGATTTCAGATTTCTATTGATAATTGGGATTTAAACCCAGGGAGTCTGACTCTACACTGTTATCTAGAAAACAGATCCTCTTTGCACCAGGAGAACTGGAGGGAAAAAAAAAAGAGAGAGAGAGAGAAAAAAAGAAAACAGATCCTCTACTGTGCTCCTGTGTACTGTACTAAGATTTTGTGAATACTGGTGCTTTGATGGTTGCAATCGAATGCCTGAACTGCATACATTTATTCCTTTTTTTTTTTTTTTTTTTTGAGACGCAGTTTCACTCTTATTACCCAGGCTGGAGTGCAATGGCGCGATCTCGGCTCACCGCAACCTCCGCCTCCTGGGTTCAGGCAATTCTCCTGCCTCAGCCTCCTGAGTAGCTGGGATTACAGGCATGTGCCACCATGCCCAGCTAATTTTTTGTATTTTTAGTAGAGACAGAGTTTCACCATGTTGAGCAGGATGGTCTCGATCTCTTGACCTCGTGATCCACCTGCCTCGGCCTCCCAAAGTGCTGGGATTACAGGCTTGAGCCACCGCACCCGGCGCATACATTTATTCTTAACAAATAGCTAACAATTATGTGTAGGGTTCTGTGCTAACAGCGCTGTCTGGATTACCACGTTCAATCCTAACCACACCCCCTGAAGCAAGCATTATCATGATACCATTGCCAGAAAAGGAAACTGAGGTACAGAGAGATTAGGTAACTTATCCAAGGTTATAATACTAGAAAGAAGTGAAGCTCAAACCCAAGGTCTGTCTGATTTCAAGCCAGTGCTTCTATTCACACTATGTTACACTGTTAATCCAAGCCCCATAAAGATATTCATTGACTGGTGCGCACAGTAATTTTTTTTTTTTTTTGAGATGGAGTCTTGCTCTGTCGCCCAGGCTGGAATGCAGTGGTGTGATCTCGGATCACTGCAACCTTCACCTCTTGGGCTCAACAGATCCTCCTGCTTCAGCCTCCTGAGTAGCTGGAACTACGGGTACACCACGCCTGGCTAATTTTTGTAAGTTTAGTAGAGATGAGGTTTCACCATGTTGGCCAGGCTGGTCTTGAACTCCTAACCTCAGGTGTTCCACCTGCCTCAGTTTCCCAAAGTGCTGGGATTACAGGTGTGAGCCATCGCACCCAGCCCACTCACAGTAATTATATTCCATTCTCTCTCAATGTAACATTTAGTAATTAGTTTTTAAGACCTAAGAGTACTTACATACAAATTTAAAATACTCCTTGCAGGAGTGATGGTGACCTTTGGGGATTTTTCAGATGAAAGTCACAATCCCAGGCCAGGCATAGTGGCTCATGCCTTTAATCTCAGCACTTTGGGAGGCTGAGGCAGGTGGAACACCTGAGGTCAGAAGTTCCAAGACCAGCCTGGCCAATATGCTGAAACTGTGTCTCTACTAAAAATACAAAAATTAGCCAGGTGTGGTGGTGGGTGCCTGTAATCCTAGCTACTTGGGAGGTTGAGGCAGGAGAATTGCTTGAACCTGGGAGGCAGAAGTTGCAGTGAGCTGAGATCCCACCACTGCACTCTAGCCTAGGTGACAGAGTGAGACTCCATCTCAAAAAGAAAACAATGTCAACAACAAAAAAATGAAGTCACAATCCCCTTCTTCACTCCCCATCCTTCTTCCCCTAAAATTAAGATATAATGAACCATGATGTAGTAAATCATGATGTAAAGACTGGCTTGCATGTCATTATGCTACCTAGATCATTCAAAAAACAGCCTACTTAAGAGGCCTGTGATCCTGTGATTTGTTTCCATAACCTCCTTCATCAGATACTTGGGCCTACCCGTTGTCCCTGAGCTTCAACCATCCTAAGGGAAGAATAATCTACAATTCAGGTCTAGTCACTTACTCTCCTCTCCGCTGGTGTTAATCTGGACCATAACCTTTAACCTTTCAGGAGAACCTTTTTTCTGCCAGGAACTGTTCACTTTGTCTGCCAACTTCACAGAATCCACTGTTTCCAGCATGAAGAGATTGGGGACAGCTGTAATGAGACAGAGGCAAGGTAGTATTCCTTATACACTCTATTGCAGCAAGTAACATACAACAAATCTCTGACTTGGTAGAGGGAAAAATATGCCAGGAAAAGAAAAACACAGTTAAATCTCAGTTCCTCTAAGAAGACAAATGTGACAGTTTTACTAGATACAAATTCAAATGTCAGACCATCCCCAGCAAAGGTAACTAAGGGAAATGCTGACATACATGATCAGGCAGTACATATATCAATATGCTTCAAGAAGCTGGTAATGAACAGATTCCTAATAACAGGCTCGATCTGTGTCTCAGTTCAAACTGAGAGAAACAGGTCAGGATGACAGTGAAGAAAGGATGACCAGTGGAAGCTAAGATGCTTCCCCGGCATATCACCACATTCTTCAACTTTCTGGGCTGAGGATATTCTTATTCAACAAGGACATCACAATAACCCCAACACTGGCTGGGCATGGTGGCTCACACTTTAATTCCAGCACTTTGGGACGCTGAGGTGGGTGGATCACCTGAGGTCAGGAGTTTGAGACAAGCCTGACTAATCTGATTAAACTGTCTCTACTAACAATGCAAAAATTAGCGGGCATGGTGGAGCACACCTGTAATCTCAGCTGCTTGGGAGGCTGAGGAAGGAGAATAGCATGAACCCAGGAGCTGGAGGTTGCAGTAAGCTAAGATCACACCACTGCACTCCAGCCTGGGTGACAGAGCAAGACTCTGTCTCAAATACAACAACAACAACAACAACAACAACAACAACAACAACAACAAACCAAAACCCAAGAAATCCCAAATGACCCCAACACTGAAAGTTAATTGAGACACTGAATCATAAAGCCATCTTCTTTTTCAAAGATGCATGTGAAAGGAAGCACCAGCTTTGCTTCAGCTAATTCACAACAACTGTGACAAAAGAACCTGCACCAGTAGCTTACTTTAACTGAACACAGAAATCCTCCAGGTAGTATGTGAATCACTTTATATGTATTATTTCTTTTGAATCTTCACCACAGTTCACAAAGCACTGTTCTTGTCCCTATTTTTACAGAAGGGGATACTAAGATGCAGAAAGGTGACTTCACATTCTTTTTTTATTTTTTGAGATGGAGTTTCACTCTTGCCACCCAGGCTGGAGTGTAATGGAGTGATCTTGGTTCACAGCAACCTCCATCTCCTGGGTTCAAGCGATTCTCCTGCCTCAGCCTCCCGAGTAGCTGGGATTACAGGCATGCACCAGCACATTCAGCTAATTTTTGTATTTTTGGTAGAGACGAGGTTTCAGCATGTTAGCCAGGCTGGTCTCGAACTCCTGATTGCAGGTGATCTGCCCACCTCAGCCTCCCAAAGTGTTGGGATTACAGGTGTGAGCCACCAAACCTGGCCTTTACATTCTTTTTTATTTTTATTTTTTTGAGACGGAGTTTCGCTCTTGTTACCCAGGCTGGAGTGCAATGGCGCGATCTCGGCTCACCGCAAGCTCCGCCTCCTGGGTTCAAGCAATTCTCCTGCCTCAGCCTCCTGAGTAGCTGGGATTACAGGCATGTGCCACCATGTCCAGCTAATTTTTTGTATTTTTAGTAGAGGCGGGGTTTCACCATGTTGACCAGGATGGTCTTGATCTCTCGACCTCGTGATCCACCCGCCTCGGCCTCCCAAAGTGCTGAGATTACAGACGTGAGCCACCGCGCCCGGCGCCTTTACATTCTTAATACTGAATTTCAGCTCAGGTTACTTTACTGAAAAAAATATAAATTTGAAAAAATGACAAAAAGTGTACATGCTTGATGTAAGAAAATTAAGCAATATAGAAGCATATGCAGTAGAAAGTCAAAGCCCCTCACCCTAATTAACAACTGGAGGAGAAATCTGCAGCAAGCAGTTATTTGTTATGCAGTTATAAGAGCTATTAACATTGTCTTGCCCCCCATTTATTAGGTGGAGATGCCAGTAACATTTACTTCAGTCTTTAGGGCAGATTATAGCTAATTATCAAGAAACGATAAAGACTTGATCTGGCCGGGCGCGGTGGCTCAAGCCTGTAATCCCAGCACTTTGGGAGGCCGAGGCGGGTGGATCACGAGGTCGAAAGATCGAGACCATCCTGGTCAACATGGTGAAACCCCGTCTCTACTAAAAATATAAAAAACTAGCTGGGCGTGGTGGTGCATGCCTGTAATCCCAGCTACTTAGGAGGCTGAGGCAGGAGAATTGCCTGAGCCCAGGAGGCGGAGGTTGCGGTGAGCCGAGATCGCGCCATTGCACTCCAGCCTGGGTAACAAGAGCGAAACTCCGTCTCAAAAAAAAAAAAAAAAAAAAAAAAAAAAAAAAAAGACTTGATCTATAGTCAATTTCAGATTTCTATTGATAATTGGGATTTAAATAGTGATATCCTAGAAGATATCACTATTATATTAGTGATGTTAATTCTTCCAGATCTGTTTCAGCATATCTTTAGCCAACCAAATACACATGCGCACATACACACAAATGTATAATTTCTTTTCTTCTGTTTATTAAAAATAATACAAATTGGATCACACTAAATATTCTACAGGTTGCTTACTTCTAGTAAGCACTACAGAGTTTGGAGTTTTTTTCCCACATCAATATCACAAATCCACTGGTACTTTTAAAACACTGTAGCATTCCACAGGATAGATTATCACAGTTTATGTAACTATTCCCCTTGTTGATGCACATTAGATTGTTTCTTATTTCTTGTTACAAAAACAAAGCTTAGATATAGAACTCTGTGGTATGTACAAGTATTTCAGATGGGTACTTTGCCAATATTTTCTCCCATTCTGAGTTGTCTCTTCACTTTGTTGTTTCCTTTGCTCTGCAAGAGCTTTTGTTTTCTTTTTCCCCCGAGGTGGAGTCTCACTCTGTCGCCCAGGCTGGAGGGCAGTGGTGCAATCTTGGCTCACTGCAACTTCTGCCTCCTGTGTTCAAGTAATTCTTTTGCCTCAGCCTCCCAAGTAGCTGGGATTACAGATGCCTACCACTACACCTGGCTAATGTTTTTATTTTTAGTAGAGATGGGGTTTTGCCATGTTGGCTAGGCTGTTCTTGAACTCTTGACCTCAGGGATCCACCCACCTTGGCCTCCCAAAGTGCTGGGATTACAGACATCAGCCACTGTGCCCAGCCTGCAAGAGCTTTTTAACTTCATGTGATCCCATCTGTCCATTTTTGCTTTGGTTGCCTGTGCTTTTGGAGTATTTACTCAAGATATCTTTGTTCAGGGCAGGTGCAGTGGTTCACACCTGTAATCCCCACACTTTGGGAGGCCAAGGAGGGCAGATCACTTGAGGCCAGGAGTTTGAGACCAGCCTGTCCAACACAGTAAAACCCTGTCTCTACCAAAAAATACAAAAATTAGCTGGGTGTGGCTGGGCATGGTGGCTCATGCTTGTAACACGAGCACTTGGGGAGGCCCAGGTGGTCGAATCACTTGAGGCCAGGAGTTTGGCTAACATGGTGAAACCCTGTCTCCATTATTTAAAAGTATTAGCTGGGCGTGGTGGCACATGCCTGTATTTCCAGCTACTTGGTAGGCTGAGGCAGGAGAATTCCTTGAACCCAGGAGGCAGAGGATGCAGTGAGCTGAGATCATGCCACTGTACTCCAGACTGGGTGACAGAGCAAGGCTGTCTCAAAAAAACAAAAAAACGGCTATGCATGGTGGCTCACACCTGTGATTTCAGAACTTTGGGTGTTCAAGGCAGACGGATCACGAGGTCAGGAGATTGAGACCATCCTGGCTAACAAGGTGAAACCCTGTCTCTACTAAAAATACAAAAAATTAGCCAGGCGTGAGGACAGGCACCTGTAGTCCCAGATACTTGGAAGGCTGAGGCAGAAGAGTCCTTGAACCCGGGAGGTGGAGGTTGCAGTGAGCAGAGATCAGGACACTGCACTCCAGCCTGGGCAACAGAGTGAAACTCCGTCTCAAAAAATAAATTAAAAAGTAAAAAAAAAGAAAGGAAGAAAATGCACATATATATATTTGACTGCAAGTGATCCTCCCACCTTGACCTCCCAAAGAGTTGGGATTACGGGTGTGAGTTATTGCATCTGGCCTCAATAAGCCTTTATGGAAATGAATTGAACCATAAGGTTGAATGAGTATAATGGGTTATCCAGAGGGGAAAATGGCACCAAAACAACACAGTTCTGTTAGGGTTTCCTGCCCCTTCTATGCCTGCTGGCTCCTTCCCCCTCCCTCTTCCCATCACCTTTACATATTTCCAACAAGGCTGGGTGCAGCAGTTCACACCTGTAATCCCAGCACCTTGGGAGGCTGAGGTGGGTGGACCACTTGACATCAGGAGTTTGAGACCAGCCTGGCCAACGTGGTAAAACTCCATCTCTATGCTAAAAACACAAAACTTAGCTGGGTGTGGTGGCACACGCCTGTAATCCCAGCTACTTGAGAGGCTGAGGCAGGAGAACTGCTTGAACCCAGGAGGCGGAGGTTGTAGAGGTGGTAGTGAGCCGAGATCATGCCACTGTACTCCAGCCTGGGCGCGAGAGTGAGACCCTGTCTCCAAAAAAAAAAAAAAAAAACAACCTTTGTCCAGACTAATGTCTTGGAGAGTTTCCCCAATATTTTCTTTTAGTAGTTTCAGGTCTTAGATTTAGATTTAAGTCTTTAATCCATTTTGATTTGATTTCTGTATATGGTGAGAGATAGAAGTATAGTTTTATTCTTTTGCATATGGATATCCAGTTTTCCCAATGGCGTTTATTGAAAAGACTGTCCTTTCCCCAGTGTATGTTTTTGGCACCTTTGTTAAAAATAAGTCCTCTGTAGATGTACAAATTTATTTTTGGGTTCTCTATTCTGTTTCATTGGTCTATGTGTCTGTTTTTATGCCAGTATCATACTGTTTTGGTTACTATAGCTCTGCAATATAATTTGATTATATCAGGTAATGTGATTCCTCCAGTTTTGTTCTTTTTTGCTCAGGATGGCTTTGGCTATTGTGGGTCTTTTGTGGTTCCATATGAATTTCGGGATTATGTTTTTCTATTTCTGTGAAGAATGTCATGGTATTCTGATAGGGACTGCATTAAATCTGTAGATTGCTTTGGGTAATAAGGACATTTTTACAATACATCAAATTTTACAATACATCAAAAAATCAATTCATGAATTGATTTTTCCAATACATGAACATGGAATATCTTCCGATTTTTCATGTTCTCTTCAATTTCTTGCATCAGTGTTTTGTAGTTTTCATTGCAGAAAGCTTTTGCTTCTTTGGCTAAGTTTATTCTTAGGTATTTCATTTGTAGCTATTGTGAATGGGATTACTTTCTTGATTTCTTTTCCAGATCATTCTCTGCTGGCATATAGAAATGCTACTGATTTTCGTATATTGATTTTGTATCCCGCAATGTTACTGACTTTGTTTTTCGGTTACAATAGTTTTTCGACAGAATCTTTAGTCTTTTCTAAGACTGCACAGTTTTAGAATCTCCTGGTAAGATGAAAGAATACCCATTTACTCACCCCCTCAAAACACTGGATCTTTGAAGCAGTCTTTTTGAGTTTTTACAAGCCTGATTTGTGAAAGTTACTTTGTATTTCTCTGTTTGAGGATGAATGCTTTTCATTTGATTACCGGACTTCTGTATTTTGACTCCTTGTGAACTGCCTCAGTTTTTGCCTATTTTTCTTCCTATAGATTAAACAAAAAGATTTGTAGCTCTTTATGTATTCTGAACATTAACTTCTTCCCTCTTCAAAAATATTATTTTTCTCCCACTCTGTGCCTTCCTTTTGCTTTGACATGCAGAAAGCTTTAATTTTTGTGTGTTCAAATCTGCTAGTTGTTCTTTTTAAACTCATTATTATTATTATTGTTATTTTTTGACTGGGTCTCCTTTGTCACCCAGGCTGGAGTGCAGTGGCGCGATCTCAGCTGACTGCAACCTCTGCCTCCAGGTTCAAGTGATTCTCCTGCCTCATCCTCCCCAGGTAGCGGGGACTACATGTGCCTGGCTAATATTTGTATTTTTAGTAGAGACGTGTTTTGCCATGTTGGCCAGCCTGGTCTCAAACTCCTGAACTCAGGTGATCCACCCACCTCGGCCCCCGAAAGTGCTGGGATTATAGGCATGCGCCACTGGGCCCAGCCTCCATGTCTTTCCTAATTTTATTTTACTATAAATTTTTTTTTTTTTTTGAGACGAAGTCTTGTTCTGTCACCTAGTCTGGAGTGCAGTGGCATGATCTTGGCTCACTACAACCTCCACCTCTGGAGTTCAAGCAAGTCTCCTGCCTCAGCCTCCTAAGTAGCTGGGACTACAGGCACACGCCACCACATCTGGTTAATTTTTGCATTTTTAATAGAGTTGAGGTTTCACCATGTTGGTCAGGCTTGTCTCGAACTCCTGACCTCAAGTGATCCATCTGCCTCACCTGCCAAGGTGCTGGGATTATAGGCGTGAGCCACCGTGCCTGGCCTATGTTACCACAATTCTTAATTTTACTTTACTATAGTTACTTTACTGTACTCTATTTTATTTACTGCAGCCTTTTATTTAAAGGAAAAAGAACAGAAACGTCTCTTTTGCTAGTTAAAAAAATTTATGGGCTGCAATTCTTTATAATTTTTCTGAAAGACAACCAAATAATAATAAACATGAGGTAGGGCAGGTTTCCAAGTATGTAGAAGCCAGGCAACTGTGAATACGTTCTGTTCTTGGCATGATGTTTTCTCCTTATATTAAGAACTCAGACTTTCCGAAAGAAATTCCAAAAACATATGGTGAACTAGGGATAGTCTAAAAGTTGCTATCTCTTCCAGAGACGGTAGTTACAAGCAATACAATAACAGAGCAATTTTGTCTTCATATTTAGAGTTTTATCTTACCCATCAATTTGTTGACATTTTGTTTCTGTAGGTGGCCAATGAAGTGCCACTTGATCTCAGGACACATAGACAGAATCTGAAGAGAAAAGGTAACCATGTGTAACTTAGATTTTCACAGATGTCTTGCTGCTTCCAACACCTTGCTCACTCCCTGTCACCTTTCACATCCACTCTTTGATCCTTAAATGTAATAAACTATCACAGGCCGGGCGTGGTGGCTCAAGCCTGTAATCCCAGCACTTTGGGAGGCCGAGGCGGGTGGATCACGAGGTCGAGAGATCGAGACCATCCTGGTCAACATGGTGAAACCCCGTCTCTACTAAAAGTGCAAAAAATTAGCTGGGCATGGTGGCACGTGCCTGTAATCCCAGCTACTCAGGAGGCTGAGGCAGGAGAATTGCCTGACCCCAGGAGGCGGAGGTTGCGGTGAGCCGAGATCGCGCCATTGCACTCCAGCCTGGGTAACAAGGGCGAAACTCCGTCTCAAAAAAAAAATAAATAAATAAAATAAAAAAATAGCCGGGCGCGGTGGCTCAAGCCTGTAATCCCAGCACTTTGGGAGGCCGAGGCGGGTGGATCACGAGGTCGAGAGATCGAGACCATCCTGGTCAACATGGTGAAACCCCGTCTCTACTAAAAATACAAAAAATTAGCTGGGCATGGTGGTGTGTGCCTGTAATCCCAGCTACTCAGGAAGCTGAGGCAGGAGAATTGCCTGAACCCAGGAGGCGGAGGTTGCGGTGAGCCGAGATCGTGCCATTGCACTCCAGCCTGGGTAACAAGAGCGAAACTCCGTCTCAAAAAAAAAAAAAATAAACTATCACAATCTTCATCCGGCCTCCTAATGAGGTAAAAGGATAGAGAAAAGTCTAAGGCTTTTGTTCTGCTTCCCTTCCTTGTTCCCATCAATTTCCTCCATCTTTCAGTTACCGGCCATCAGGGATGAACTGATAAGCTTTCAAATCTTGAAAAGATGCAAAATTACAGCAAGCTCCCGAAACCACCATTTCCAAATAGCCACGAAGGAGAAAACGATAGTCTGAACAAAGAGAAACATCTAGCTGATAATTATTTGGAACTCAAGGTGAAAGTTAACATTTCTATCCCCAGCCCAATCTAAAGTCAACCATCCTAAAGCTGCTCTACAGCTCAGCCACCAAGATGGGTCTAATTTTCAACTAAAGAGCCACGATTTAGATATAAATTAAAGAATTCAGCTATCTACTTACTTTAGGATTTGATGCTTTTTCTAGCAGTTCCTGAACCTAAAAGGTAAAAACAGAACAAGTCAGAAGCCTGGCAAACACGATGCTTCCAAAGGCACTTCAGGAACAGGCTCTTACATAGTTCTCGCCAAAAGTGCGCTGCCCATGACCATAGGCCTCAATCACCATGTCTACAGGTTTGGTCTTGCTGACAGCCACTAGTCGAGGCTGGATGGCTGGGAGATCCTGCCAAGAGGGAAAGAAACATGAGTGAATGTTTGGGAATATTATCCCAATGAATCCCATAGGATACATCCTGTATAGACAGGCATTGATCTCAAATTGGCATTAGGTAAGATCCATTTTTTCAACACTGTAGGCAGATCAATTTCAAATAGTGGTGATCAAATGTTTTTTAGGTGCATGACCTCTCAATCTAATATGTTAGCGATGTCAGTATTTAGCAAAAGAAATTTCTCTCTCAGGAGAGCTGGGCCAGTTAAAGCAGTATTTCCTTGTGTGGTCTTGGACCAACTGTATCAGCATCACCTGGGTGAGAATTTCTTTTTCTTTTTTTTTTTTTTTTGAGATGGAGTTTTACTCTTGTTGCCCAGGCTGGAGTGCAATGGTGTGATCTTGGCTCACTGCAACCTCTACCTCCCAGGTTCAAGCGATTCTCCTGCCTCAGCCTTCCGAGTAGCCGGGAGTATAGACATGTTCCACCTTGCCAGCTAATTTTGAATTTTTAGTAGAGACAGGGTTTCTCCATGTTGGTCAGGCTGGTCTTGAACTCCTAACCTCGTGATCTGCCTGCCTTGGCCTCCCAAAGTGCTGGGACTACAGGTGTGAGCCACCACGTCCAGCCGATAATTTACTTTTCAACAATCTCTACAGATGATTCTCAAACATACCAATGTTGGAGACTTAAGAATCACTTCATTAATAGAAGGCTGTACTCTTTGAGCAAAAGAGAGGTCACTTCTGGCTTCCGAAACTCTAATGTTAGCAGTTTTGGTAACTCATCCTGGTCCTAGTGTATCATTACACCATAATAACACTGCTCCATTTACCCTACAAATGGCCTGCTTAGGTAACTAAGTAATTGATTGTTCAATCTGTGAATTAAGAACCAGTGGCACGGCCAGGTACAGTGGCTCATCCCTGTAATATCAGCACTTTGGGAGGCCGAGGCGGGTGGGTCACCTGAGGTTAGGAGTTCAAGACCAGCCTGGCCAACATGGTGAAACCCCTGTCTCTACTAAAAATACAAAAAATTAGCCAAGCATGGCGGTGGGCATCTGCAATCTGAGCTACTCGGGAGGCTGAGGCAGGAGAATCACTTGAACCTGGGAGGTAGAGATTGCAGTGAGCCGAGATCACATCACTGCATTCCAGACAGAGACTCCATCTCAAAAAACAAAGAAAAGAAAAGTAAAGAACTAATGGCAGAACTAAGACTGCAACACAAAATTATTCTGGACTCAGGATCAGACTTATCTGACATCCTCCCATGACCACTACACAAACAGCAGGGGTTCTATGCATTCTGCTGACCCAATCCACATAGAAACAGTAAGAGAAGAGATTCATTTATCCTTGCATGATTCAGTCTTCCTGTATCTATCACCCCCTGGAGTTTTCACAGAATCACAGTGTTCTCAAGGACATGGAGTCAGTCAATTAGAAAAATGCCTCCTCTTCCTTCCTTCCACAGGGATGCATAACCAGCCTCTTTTGAGTCCAAGTCGTGACGACCGGGATTATGCTGATAATTGATGTTTTTCAGTCACCCGAACAGGCAGCCCATGTGCCTGAGCGTTTCCCTGAGAGAACCTCCAGGGTGATGTTTGTTAGGGGAAGTCCTAGATTTTTCTTGGAGAATCACCAAGAATCACAGAATATTAACATCAGAAAGGAGCTCAGAGCTTTCAGAGATTATTGCATTGCTTGTACAGGGAGGGAAATACTGCGGGCCTGACTTGTTCAAGGTAATGTCTAAAGAATAGTCAGTCAAGGAAAGACTATAATACAGGTCTTGGCTTCAGCCAGCATAAATGCTCGATCAGAGAAACCCGTGACCTCTATGTTTAGGTCCATCTCATTCCACACCATTCAGCTTAAACTTGCACTGAGGTGGACAGATTTTGATTCTTGGTCTAATCAAAGTCCAAGAGGAGGCAAAAATATATACACAAAAGATGAAATCTCCCCTTAACTGGCTTGGGATTGGACTGCTCCCTCCTGCACCCACCAACAAGTGCCTCTGTGGTGCCAGTGAAGTCCGGCCAGTCCATCCTCATCTCGGCCTGCGGGTGGCACTGGCATTTCCAGGGCACTTAGCAGCTGAGACGCTGCCACACTCGCGGTCTCGGGCGGGTCTGGCCTCCGCGGGGTGCTCTTCTACCCCCGTCCCCCTTACTGTCCGTGGGCACAGGCCTGGCCTCCCTCACGTCCGCCAAGGCTGTCGACCCCGAAACGACGCAGTTCGACGCGGTTCACAAGTGGCCACGATGCCTGGACACTAAGTCATTTTCCCGAGGTAGCGGTACCCTCTGCTCCAACGTAGCCAATCTCCAGAAACCTACCAGACTCAGGGCAAGGAAGCTGGGGAAGCCCTTCGCTAGCTTTTTGGTGGCCCTCGGCGGCCGACGGGTCCCGCCTCTTCGGGAGACCCCTCTGCGTCACCGTGACGACCCATTCCCACGCAGGTGTCCCTCTCCTCAGGGCGTCCTCCCACTGTCCCCACGCAGCCTCTTTCCTCACCCGCGGCCGCCGCGCCACCGCCTGCTGCACGCGCTCGTTCACCGCCCGCAGTGCGCACCCGACTCCCAGCTCTGCCGACATGCTGCCAGCTCTCCACATCCCCCGGGGACCGACGCCTAGCCGGGAGACCCAGGCAGCCCCAGGTTCGGACCATCTTCCGGTTCCGCCCAGCTCGCTCCGTGTAAACCAATCATTGCTCACTATCGAGTCGTCTCACCCAATCAACACCGGTGTAGCGCGGAGAGCCGTTCCCCCGCCCCGGGCGTCGGCCATCTTGGGGAGGTCACTCGCGAACCTGGAAATGAGGATCCTGGGGGCCGAGGTCCTGCGTGCCTGACTCTGAGGGCCTCATCCCGTGTGCTCCCCTCTTTCCTGAGCCTCAGCAGCTGCCGTTTCCCACTCCCAAGGGACTTTTGTGGGGCAAAAACGCATCCTGTACTCGGGGAGTCCTATTCCCTTTCAATGCCTTGCCAGGCTTGCAGGTTCCTGGCTTTCTGGCCGCGGGGAACCAGGATTAGAAGTGACTGGGGCGGGAGCCAGGGCTTTTCTCTTTCAGGTGGTTCTTGCGAGGAGCCCGTAAGCGATATGAAAGGAAACTCTTCTTTTCCTTAAAGACACGGCGTGATTCAAACGTATGTTGATTTTTGTCATCCTCCAGACCAGTGCTGTCCAAGAGAAATATAGCGCGACCACCTGTGTAATTTTGGAAGTTTCTCATAGGCACATAAGTTTAAACATTTTAATGATATACTTTATTTAACCCAATATATCCAAAGTAGGATTTCAACATGCAATCAATAGAAAAACTAAATGCGGTATTTTAATACGTTTGAAAATCGTACGTGTTTCTGAAACCCGGTGTAGTGTTGACTTGCATGTGTCGCAATTCTGGCCATCTGTATTTCAAGGGGTTAGCGGCCACCTGCGGCCAGTGCTGCCTCATCGGGGGCACAGGCAGCATGACTATTACTGTTATTATTACTCTGATTATTACATAGCATAATTACTAATATTATGGGATACATTATAATATATACCATAATTATATAATTATTACTATGATTATTATATAGCATGATTATTGCTATTATTATTGAGACAGAATCTCCCCCTGTCACCCAGGCTGGAGTGCAGTGGTCTGATCTCGGCTCACTGCAACCTCCACCTCCTGGGTTCAAGCGATTCTCCTGCCTCGGCCTCCTGAGTACCTGGGACTACAGGTGTGAGCCACCACGTCTGGACCACAGGCAGCTTTAGATGCTCTCGTAGGAGCTCAGCACATTCAGTTGGATTCTTTTTCTCAGGTGGATTCTCACTATGTTGCCCAGACTAGTCCTGGACTCCTGGGCCCAAGCAATCCTTCCACCTCCGCTTCCAGAATAGCCGGGACTACGGACGTGCGCCACAACGCCCGGAGTTTGATTCTTGAGTCTCCCTCTGGAGGAGCCAGACCATACAAAGATCAACATAGAATGCTAAATAGGGGGTGAAATAGTAGATACTATGGGCAAGGAGAAGGAGATCAATTTTGTTAAGGAAAGCATTCTTGGCTGCAATTACTGTTGATTCTCAAACATTAATTAAACTTAATGAGCGGGATGCTATTATATTAGAGAAATAGCTAATATTTGTTCTCCAGGTTGTCTTGAGGTGATAGGGCTTATTAGAACTTTCTGGAAGGAGCAATATTCTTACTCTCTCCTCTCACAATTTTTCCCAGACCCCCAGGAAAGGAGATGGAATTTCACATCTGCTCTAGGAAAATCACGTTAGGCAGAACCTTAGGTTCTTAAAGTAAGGGACTTCTTTTCGGGAAGTCTCTGGTCATTTACCCTAGTACACATTAACTGGGCTATTTGCAAACTAGACCTGCCGGCATTAGGAGTAATTTGTGTTCAAATAAAATGTCTCTGGATTTGATACATTTCTACTCCAACCAAAGTGATAAAAAATTTAAAATGACCAGAATGGCCCTTTGTGGTGTGAGCATAATAAATGCTTGCTGTAGAGACACAGGTAGGAAGGAGCGAGTGAGCAGTGAGTGACGGGAAGGCCAGAGGGGATCACGGTGACAGGATGTGTAGAGGAAGGATTGGGTGAGATGAAATACTTCAAATGATGCGCTATTTGGAAAACATTTTTAAAACCATAAATACCTCACAGATCTAGGGAATGTATAATCCAGGTGTTAGGTTACTATGACAACAAGTAGTTATAGCTTCATTTACTAGATTGGGCCTCTGTTATTTGAATTACAAGGCAGGTCATCCTCCACCCCTTAACCAATCAGTGAACATTTATTGAGGCATTACTCTGTAAAGGCACCCTGGGAGAGACCAGGCTGAGCCAGACAGGCTTTACCGCGGATTTATTTCTAAGATTTAGTTTTTTTTTTTTTTTTTCTTTTTTTTCTGAGATGGAGTTTCGCTCTTGTTGCCCAGGCTGGAGTGCAATGGCGCGATCTCGGCTCACCGCAACCTCCGCCTCCTGGGTTTAGGCAATTCTCCTGCCTCAGCCTCCTGAGTAGCTGGGATTACAGGCACACGCCACCATGCCCAGCTAATTTTTTTGTATTTTTTTTTTAGTAGAGACGGGGTTTCACCATGTTCACCAGGTTGGTCTCGATCTCTCGACCTTGTGATCCACCCGCCTCGGCCTCCCAAAGTGCTGGGATTACAGGCTTGAGCCACCGCGCCCGGCTCTAAGATTTAGTTTTAAGATACTTTTCATCTCTGACATTCTGTGATCTTATGAAAATGGAAATGGAGACAAAAAGATCATGGTGCCCCCAGCCCCACGGTCATTTCACATTCCAAATTCCTCTTAGCCGTACTTTTGAATTAATTTTATTTCACTTTTTCCCTTATTTTCTTTTTTAGTTTCTTCTCCTCCTCTTCCTGGGATAGCAACCAACCAATTTAACCTTTCATCCTCGCCTACTACCTAATCCTTGAAAAATGCAAGTCCAAAATTTCATCACCAGTAATTGTCTTTAAATTGCTCCAATAATTTGCAGGGACAAAGGGGAAAGGAGAAAGATGAAAAAGCCAACTGCCCAGAGAAACAGATTTTATAAACAATCTCAAATCTAGTACGCTTATGCCATCAAGCTTTTAAAACACTCTCATAGGCTGGAATAAAACGAAATTTTGATAAAAACATATATGGGTTTAAAGTGTTTCCTTCTGAGCCTACTGTGATTCTTTTGGGGGGATAAAAAAATAAAATAGAAAATTACTGTTGCCTGGTTACTTAGCTCTACAGAGAAGTGGAGAAATAATGGCCATGTCCCAGTTTAAATGAACTCAGGTAGTGTAGCCCATGGCCGCAAGCCCTTGGCAAACATGCTGTCACATCTGGCCTTCAAAATGTCTTATATAGACTCTAGAAGCCTAGACCTAGGGAGGTTTCCTACAGAAACAATGACATTGAAACCATCCCAAACAGCACAGTCTTCCCAAATTCTGCCAACCATCGGAGAAGACTATTTATTTTCTATTTGCAGGTAACAACTGCTCCCCATTTGAAACTTTAACAAGCCTGATCTTAATTACTTAAAAATACTCCTTTATTCAAGCGAATTTCCTCTTCTTAGCTACCATTATGTAACTTTTGTAATTGTGAAGTCATTAAATTTCCCTTCTGCCTTTTCTGGGATCAACCTATGAGCTTCATTTCTTACATTTTATTTTTCTTTTTGGTTTCAACATTTTGTTTTCTTTCTAGCCTCTTCAAATTTTTTTCCTTTTTAAAACTGGAGCCCAGAACTGGACAATTCCTCGCAACAGGGCCAAACCAGGTTACCTTCTACACTGCCTTTTTGTAGAGGTATGTATCCTAAATACTGTGTTTGCCGCATTGCAACGTCACTCTCTTCTATGTGCTGTCCTATTTGTAATCTGATTCCATTTTTTTCACGTGTTTGGCTTTCTACTTAGTGGTTCCCATTTAATAGCTGTGTGTTTTCTAGCCCGTTTCCCCGGATTGAAAAGTTGTTGTTTTGGAATACATACATGCAAGTACAGTGTGAAAGCCCTTCACATGCATTATTTCATAAGCCACTCAACCCATTTTATAAATGAAGAAACACAGGCTTAGAGAGGTCAAAAAACTTACCCAAGACCACACACCTAAGAAGTAGTAGAGCACGGATTTGAACTTTTGCAGTCTGACCCCAGTAACTACATTCTTAACATACCTACTCAATTGTTAAGATCAGGTTATTTGTGTAGCAGGCTCTCAAACCAATAGAGAAAGCTTGGGAGCACCACTGAAAAACCCGAGAAAGCCTGGGCTAGGGTTGCCGGACTTACCAAGTAAAAACACAGGATACCCAGTTAAATATGAATTTCACATAAGCAAATTCTTTAGTATGAGTATGTCTCATGCAGTATTTGGGACATATAATACTTATACTAACAATTATACATTGTTGAAATTAATATTTAACTAGATATCCTATGTTTTACCTGGCAACCCTAAGCTGGGCAGCTTTCCAGAGTAAAGACTGGGATTTCTTCCGCTGAACTGATATTAGAATGAGTTTTGGGTCAATTGAAAATATCTCTGCCCTTTGGAGCAGAATTGCAGTGGTGTGTAAATTGTTTAAAATGATAAATCTCTTTAGTACCGAACAAGAATTATGCCGTGTTCACAAATTCATTTATTGTTTCTATATGCATAATGGGGACAGATTTTCATCTGACTACATTTTTAAAGAGATCTTGTACTTAACTCACTAGTCAGGGATGTTTTATTTCTTTATGTCACCTATCCTAATATTAGCTATTGCTGTATTTCACTTTAATAAAAAAGTAGACACAAAGACTCATTTTACTTAGCAAGATTGCAAATAAAACTAAGACATAAATTCACACGGGCCTGTTAGTATTATCCAAAACAATTCCTCCAGCTATCAACCCAAGGCAATCAATTCAGCAGTTATCATTTACAGAATGATTACTAAAACAAGAGGCATTTCTCAGTTACAAATGGGGTCATTAAGTTCTTGGGGCTCTTGGAAAGTAGCAGTTTGACTGTTCAATCGTTAGTCTACACAAAAGCGAAATAAAAAGGAATGGAAATACAAACACAAAATCATTGGTCATTACCTCTTTTAAAAGGAAACAAGAAAAAAACAGTGGCTAGAAACAACAAAAAAGCAGTGGCTAGAACCCTACTGAATAGGACTTAAAGAAGTAGTTGTTAAATTCACAGACACAGTAGCCGCTAGCCAAGATATAGTTTATCTCCATCAAACTTAAATAGATAAAGTCAGTAAGTATGACCATCTTACTTTCACTATTTACTCTCTTTAAATAGTAAAGGTATATTTTGAAAGATACATAGAACCAGAAGAACAGTGAATGACCATTTATAAAACAGCTCCTTTTCTTGGATCAATATATTGCTAACATTCTTTCAGTAACCCTCCCTTTTTATATAATCATAGATCCCTCCATATCGACTTTATTTTAGTTACATAAAAATTATTAATAAACTTTGGTTTCCTTGCAAACATTCGGTCCTTATATTTTAAAAAGTGATTAAAAACAGTACTGAATTTGAATTACTTCTGCAAAGTTTAATGAGTGAGAAACATTCAATCAAGGTGATTTTTTTCCTTGGATAATCCTACAAAAACTGAATTTTATAAACAGTAATTTTGATAGACATTCCATTTATAAATAGCAGCCATTACTTCACTGTCTACAGAATTGCAGGCTCTCACATTTTACATGTTTAGAATTCAAATGTTTTAAGATTAGATTTTCTAGTAAGCGTTAAAAACAAAATCATACAGACAGATGGGTTAGTTGTCCTATGCACAGAAAACAACTGATTTCCATGATTTTGCTATTTAGACAGATAGAGACAACCACTGGATTGACACTAATGGGTATGACAACATATTTTTTGTTTAAAGAGGAAATGATAGTAACTTGGGGCGGGGCAGCTGCAGCAGGACTTGACTCTCCTGAGGCTCTTTTGTGGTTACGGGACAAGCTATCGCAGGATGTTAGTACTGGAGAGGCCCTCAAGTTAAGACCTGAGCAAAGCATGCTATTCAGAAAAGCTGAGCTATCCCTGCTCCTGGTTCTATTGTGGTGAACTGGTGTTTTCTGAGGCCTAGGCAGCAAAAGCAGTATCATTTACAGAGTGATTACTAAAACAATCAGAGTGGAAGGTGCACACATATATGGGAAGTGGGGATGCTGGGCATGTCATATTGCCCTAACAAGTGATTAATAGCATAGAAATGGGAGGAAGATGAATGTATTTTAAATGGATACCCCCTATGCTGGTCTTGGGAAATCACCACCTTCTTTTTTTTTTCCTTTTGTTGAGATGCAGTCTTGGCTGTCACCCAGGCTGGAGTGCAGTGGCATGATCTCGGCTCACTGCAACCTCTGCCACCTGAGTTCAAGCGATTCTCCTGCCTCAGCCTCCCAAGTAGCTGGGATTACAGGTGCCTGCTACTACGCCCAGCTAGTATTTCTAGTTTTAGTAGAAATGGGGTTTCACCGTGTTGGCCAGGGTGGATTCGAACTCCTAACCTCAGGTGATCTGCCTGCCTTGGCCTCCTAAAGTGCTGGGATTACAGGTGTGAGCCACCGTGCCCGGCCAAGGGAAATGACCCCTTCTGAAAGGACTCTGGAGCACATTAAAATCCATCACTCCCAGGAACATTTTGTTGCCTGCAAAAAGTGTGTCCAGGACTGGAAGTCCTAGGAATTTAACAGAGAAGGGCAACTTTGAAGTAAGGGGAGCTAACATTGTATCTTTCTAGGCAGGCTCAAGGCTCCCAGAACTCCTGAGCAAGCTGGCCCAAGTTCTGGGACCATTCCTTAAACCAGAAATCTGGGCATGGGCCCCAAAACAAGGCAGGGATTGCTGCCAGATAGGATCATTCACGGATTCACCTAGGGAAGAGGGGTACAGTAGGAGTTGTAAGGGAGTTAGCTCGTAACAGGGCCAAGTCCTAAGCCAGAGCTGGTCATGGAGGGCACCTATATGCTTGCAAGTTAACTACAGATAGCTGCCCTCCACTTAATTCTAGACACAACCCATGGGCTATACAGGTCAGATGCTCCCCGCCACCCCAATCTCAGGATATAAGAAAAACCTTTTGCTCAAGTTTGCTTTCCCCATCCTGAATCTCCCAGGGTGACTCAAAATTTTCTGAGCTAGTAATGAAAAAGAATTCCCTTTGAATGGATTTTGGCGCAGCCATTCCAACCCAGGGACTTGGGCATGAACTCTGACTTGCTCCACACAGCTGTCTCTGGAGACTGAATGTTGTCTGACCTGTGTCAAAAACACAGGCCACTTAGTGAATAGAGTCCTTTTATCACTAAGCCAGACCCACTCCCAGCACAAGGCACAGGCATTAAGACCAGGACATCTCTTGACTGATCATTCCTCCTGCTGCACACAGGGTCGGACCTCTTCACTGCAGAATCTCTACAATAGAAAGACACTTCATCTCAAGGTGCGTGCATAATCTGTCAGGCAGGTCCTGCAGTGGCTAAGAGATAACAAGGATCCTACTCCAGCAGCTATTAAGACACTTGAGTTGTTTGTCCCTGTCTTCTTGATGCTGAGTGGAAGCAACAAACAGATTATTTGAGAAGAAAAAAAAAAAAAAATCACAGGATAGGTGAAAAGTTGCAGAAATAACTGAGTGGTGGAGATCAAGCTCTGACTCTAGAAATATAGTCAGAAACCACCACTCTGGGCCCTAGGGCAAGGAGCAAAGTGTATATAAAATCTTGCAAAACCTAGCACCAGGACTTCCTTATGAGGGCTCAGGAAAGCATGCCTCAAAGTAACTCACACACATGTGGACAAAAATGCCAGGAGGGTCGAACGTTCTCTGCAGCTGTTTCTCCACAGCTCTACTGGCAAACTCACCTATTTGCTCAGTTGCTGAGCCTCACTCACAGACATCTCCCACCTCAGAGGCAGAGGCGAGAATACTGGACTACATTTTTCCCAAATAAGGGAAATCAAATCAGTTGGAGACAACACTCTACATTTCTCCCCTCCCTTAATGATAGCATCCCTAATTAAGCCAGCCTCAAAGGATAAAATTAGTGTCTCAAGGTCAAAGGTCAAGCCCATGGTTTACAAATCTTATCGGAAGTCATATAAACTGCTTACCTGAAATAAAACCCCCTATCGTCAGTCCCCACCCTCCGTTCCCTGGAAGGCGAGTAGATTTAAGTTCATTTCTTCTTTTTCACCACAGTAACTTGAAGACAGTCAAAGAAGGTAGTGGGGGAGGCAGGAACATTCTGATTCATCTTAAAAAATAAAGATCTGCTTAAGTATCATTTTGCAGTCGTATAAAGTTTTTTTTTTCAATTCTCCTTAGTAGCTGTCTCCAAGGGTTCATCTTCTAAGCCAAAGCTTAGCTTGTCAGCTAGCCCCTCAAACTGCTTGCTCACACTGCCCGCAGAGTCCATGAACATGTTAGGAATGTCTTTGCCAAAGTAAATCTTGCTGTTAGAAGCAATGGCCTTGTACTTCATTAGCTGCAGATATTCAGGGGTCAGCTTCAGCTGTTAAAAAAAAAAAGAAGACTTAGGTGGAAGACTTAGGTGGAAGCGTACTAGAGAAAAGGGGCGGGGGGGTGATACCTCTTCGGTGTCCCTATGACGAGGTTCTCTGTCAAATATTTATGCCCCTACCTACTTTTTGTGGTCTCACTGTTAACATTTCTGTAAGAGACCGTTATCTCAAATCTGCGAGCAGAGTTGCAAAAGTGAAAGGTTTTCACGTTTAACACAAAACTAAACTTCTAACAAGGCACGTCCAAGGAGAAGGGAAGTACCTGCACACAGCACAGGCGTCCTCAGTCCTGGCCACGAAGGCCTTTGGGTGGTGGTGTGCAGTCAACACTGGAAACTCTCCAGCAGTACAGACCCAGACCCAAAGACCCCTCTTTATTGGCTGTGCAGGGTGTTTACCTTATTGGCTTCGGCTATTTTCATAGCAGTATAGCACTCAGCATCCGCCTTTGCCTTCTCCCGGGCCAGAAATGCAGCGTCTGAAGGGGAAGGAGTGCAGTGAACTTAGTGAAGGGCTAAAACTGAGTTCTCTGTAGGAAGTGCAGAGGCTATGGGAAGACTCTGTTCTGGTCCCTGGAACTTCGCCTCTGATTGCCACTGTGACCTTGGGGAGATCGCTTTTTCCTCTGTGCTTTAAATGTGTCTTCCCCTATTGTACAAGTTGTTGTAAGGATCAACCAAGATGAAAAAGTGTTTTGAAAGCATCTCCTGATGACAGGGACAGCAAGTCTGTGTCTGCGGCCCAAACATACACGTCGACAGTACTATGGAAAAAGCAATGCTAGGCAGAAGCACTTCCTGTCTCCACTTGTTTCCTTCTTTTGGAGATCCACGTCTGTGAAGCAAAGCAGTGGGATCCTGCCTCAAGCTCAAGGCCAGAGCCTTCCACTCCTCCCTCCTGTGCTACACAGCAAAAGCAAGGAAAGCTCAAAGGCAGCTCTGAGTACGGTCAGAGGTGGATCACCCGAGAACTGAATGCCATGAGCATAACGTAGTTCAGTCCCTCTCCAAATTCATTTCCCTTTTCTTTCCATCAATCATTTCAAAAAGGTCCTAATGGACAGTGATTAAGCTGGCACAATTCTGAGAGAGAATTACATGCCATGGGCCAGACCAACACATGTTTTGATTAAGACCTATTTAAGGGCTGGGCGCGGTGGCTCAAGCCTGTAATCCCAGCACTTTGGGAGGCTGAGGCGGGTGGATCACGAGGTCAAGAGATCGAGACCATCCTGGTCAACATGGTGAAACCCCGTCTCTACTAAAAGTACAAAAAATTAGCTGGGCATGGTGGCGTGTGCCTGTAATCCCAGCTACTCAGGAGGCTGAGGCAGGAGGCGGAGGTTGCGGTGAGCTGAGATCGCACCATTGCACTCCAGCCTGGGTAACAAACTTGGTCTCAAAAAAAAAAGACCTATTTAATTCCACTGTGCAATCCATATTCTTCCCTAATCAGCTCTGAGACTAGCTTTCTGTCAAGCTGATGCAAAATTTTTGATATGTACCCCCTTGTCTTAGAAACAGGCCAGCCTCATGTGAGTAATATTTGCAGCAGCATGCCTGGGAGAAAGGTCAGTCTGTGGGTGGGTTCTCACTGCATGCTCTCAGTGTGACCCTGCGTGGAAGGAGCCTGCAGTCCAGCCAGGGTTCTGGCTGCCGTGGGGCCCCCTCAGCGGGCCTGAGCACTTGATGACACGTATTTGTGAGAAATAAAAATGTGTTGCTTTGCTAAGAGCTCCCTAATGAGGAGCCACTGATCTGTGAAATCCTAACTGGCTCCTCTATGGGGCCCTGCAAAGCCTGACAGGCCCCATAATGAGTATAATTGGACATAACACTTTGTAGCCTGAAGCTGGGCCTTGGGGTTCCAGTTCTGCCTTGGAATTTGCTTGACATAAGCCAACCCAACAAGTAAGAGGCGGGCAGTGGGAAGGAGGTACAGGCTTAGAAGCAGGAATAGAAGGTGAGTGATATTGAGAAAAGCCAGCAAAGAAAACCTTTCTCTCCAGCTCCTGTGTGACTGGTGCTGAAAATCTGTCTTCTTCAAACCTGGCTTAATATCTACATAGACCTGGAGAACAGACTTTGAGCCCAAAACCATGGTGCCAACCAACTTTGGAGCAGGGGTAGCTGAGGCATGGGGGAGAGACAGCTGCTGAGAGTGCGCTCCCAGTGCTCCAAGGCCCCGCCAGCCTGGGAACTTCAAGACAGTAGGGACTACGGGACTTCCTTTTTCTCACGTCTAACAAAATGCTGGACACATACTGGCACTCAAGCCACATTTGTTGAATGAACAAACACTCTCTGAAGTAGAAAACAGATGCTAGTCTGGCCACAGTCACCTCAAATCTCAAGTCTCTGCATGGAGAAAAGCTGCTGTTGCACAGAGATCATGACATTATAGAGCACGGTTAAAGGGCAAAGGCAACAGCTCCCCCCGCCACGGGCCACAGGGCAGGGTCTGAGGAGGACGCAGGCATGAGCGTCGCTTCTGCTTACCTTCGATTTCTGAAATCTTCTTCTCAGTCTCCTTCTCCATCACCTTCTGCCCGTAGGTGATCTCAGCCACCTGTGCCACTTTTTCTGCCTCTGAAAAAAATGACAGTGAGGAAAGACTTAGGGTTCTGGCATTTCAGAGTTTGACTGATTTCACCTTTCCCCCGAGCTGAGTGTCCTGGTGGGCCAGCTCGGCTGAAGAGCCCCCCAGAGGGCGGCGGTGAGGGCATACACGGGCAGAGTGGGATGTGCCAGTGAGCAGAGTCCCCTTCCATAAGCACAAGGCAGTAACCGAGGAGACCTGGGCCCAGCATAGTAAGAATGAGCCCTAACTTCACAAGGGAACGTCTCCCAAAGGAATATTCTAAAGAATGAAGTACTCTAGTAGGGTTCCACCTGGCCCTTCAGTGCAGACAGGGGTCAGGTTTGTTGTTGATAATACAGTGTGGTGACTAAGAACATAGCTTCTAGAGCAAGTGTCCTTGGTTGGAGCCCCAGTTCCATCCCTTACTGCCATATGCCCTTGGGCATGGTATTTTACCCCTCTGTGCTTTGGTTCGATAAAATAAGATTAAGGATAATATAGTACCTACCTCACAAAGTGGTTGTGATGGCTGAGTTAACCCACGTATTAAGTGCTTAGGAAAGTATGTGGCTCAATTTAGTATTAGCCATTATTATTATGAGTTAAGAATTAACAGGCAGGGCTCCTTTCATTTAAGAGGTAAGTGGAAACTCAAAACTCATTCCCTGTGGCCATGATCTGACAATTTCCACTTTGCTTCTGGGAGTCCACCTGCCATTCCTGCGCTGTGGAAGTGGTTTGGAGGACCACGGGGTCTCAGCAGGCCTCAGCCTCCTTGCATCTTCCCACCACCCCCAGCCCTTCTGCCTGGAAAAGGGGATCACAGAACCACATTCAGACCAATGAGTGCCTTCTTCCGCTCTGTCTCTGCTTCCTTTTCCACCACCTTCTGTTTCTGGGCTGCAATGAGCAGCTTTGTCTTCTCACTTTCCCTGAAGAGGAAACAAAGCCGTGAGGCCACTATGAAAAACTCAGGAACTTCACTGTCCCCAGAAGAAGCTGAACTCTTCTGCTGAAGACAGGCAAACTCCCATTTCCTACTCCTCCTGGAAGGCTGTTCCATGGCCTAGGTAAAAGCCGATCTGTTGCCGACAGTAACACAGCTCTTCTCCCAAATAACTCATTTGTGGGAAATAAAATGTAACTTACTTTAGTAAAGTACACCTGTCTGTCCACTTATTGGTCTCTTGCTTCTGTCTTCCCCTTGGGCATGAGTCACAGAATACAAACAAGGCCCCCGGGCCCTTATCAAAGCACTGTTGCTTTATAGGGCTTCTCCTGGGGTTCTCAATCACAGGGAGGGAGCCCCAGTCGTGGCCCTGACACGTCTGCCCAACCTTACAGTGCAGTGGGCTGTGGCAAATCCTCTAGCAAGGGGATAACCGAGAAGCCAGGCAGCTTCGGTTACGTCTGGGATGGGATGAGGTGGGAGGTAGGAGGCAGTGGTGGTCACAGCCCAGGCGGAGGGTATACTTACATCAACTCGTAGTTTCTGCGGATTGCCTCCGGTATGTTGGGCTTTGTCACCCGCACAGCCTGGAGAGAGATTAAAACAGCAGCTGATGGGAAAGTGAGGGTAGTGAGGGACACACACAGCTCCCACCGTCTTGATCTTCCTGCACAAAAAGAACATCCCTTGAGAGAAGGGATGCAGTGTCAAAGAGAGAGGGCCTGCTCCCATGCAGCAATGCTTACTTGAATGACCAGCCCAGGGGCCATGGAGGTCAGGTCCTGTTGCAAAGCCAGTTTGAGATTTTCATCAATCTGATCTGGAATAAAGAAAAGACAGAGGAAAAGGAGTTGTTACACTTTCTTTTCTTTTCTTTTTTTTTTTTTTTTTTTGAGACGGAGTTTCGCTCTTGTTGCCCAGGCTGGAGTGTAATGGCGCGATCTCGGCTCACCGCAACCTCCGCCTCCTGGGTTCAGGCAATTCTCCTGCCTCAGCCTCCTGAGTAGCTGGGATTACAGGCACGCACCACCATGCCCAGCTAATTTTTTTGTATTTTTAGTAGAGACGGGGTTTCACCATGTTGACCAGGATGGTCTTGATCTCTTGACCTCGTGATCCACCCGCCTCGGCCTCCCAAAGTGCTGGGATTACAGGCTTGAGCCACTGTGCCCGGCCAAAGGAGTTGTTACACTTTCTAGATGAGGGAGGGCACGATGAGGGTAAAGTACAAACTCAATCATCAACTCAAGAATGTACCTTCCCAAGGGAGGGTGCTTATCAAAGCCCACAAATCTAAAGATCCCCTGCCCAACTTCTGGAGTAGCCTGCACAGACAGCCCTCTACAACGCAAATGATAGGGCATCCTTTTTCTGTGCCTCAAGATACAACTCAACCTCTGTTGCTGAAAATACTAACCATGCCCTACAGGGGATGAACTTGAAAAAAAAAAAAGAAAGGACACCAATTCTAGAACATTTCTTGCATGAGGCAACAGCCTTTCCCTAGACAACAGCAGCAAAAGAGAAGGAAGATTCAGTTTCCACAATGAAGGAAGGTGGAATGGCTATTTAGGTTTTATGGAAAGAGCTGAGCACATTAAATCTAGTAATTTTAGAAGTTTCTAAAAGAAAAACAGACTTTGACATCAAGGAGAGCCCAAGGAAGACTGTTTCTATTAGGAACTCCATCAAACAACACAAGGGGAAAATTAAAATTTACAGTTCTGGAAGTGAGCCCCAGGCTTTTGATGTGCTGTTTGCTTTGGTCCTTATTTCTCTGCCTGGGATTCACAAGAGTTGTTTTACAGACAAATGTAGGAACAGCTGTAACTGACTACACCCTCCTCCTTCCTTTCCAGCTGCAGTCTCAGAACAGCAGCACGAAAGCTGCCTTCTCTCTGGCCTGGGCTTCTCAGATTTTAGAATCCTCTTCCTGCCTCTGCTCATGAGATCCTCAGTAAGATCCTAGAGGGGCTTAGAGAAAAAGACCGAGTGAAACCAGACTGGGACTTGTATACTGCATCTCTCCTTCTCTGTCACCTACTATCTGCTTTAAGTGGTCCTTTCATAGTCACCTGTGCCCAAACAAGAGCCTCTGGGGAAGAGAAAGTCTCTGTCCTTTTACTGATGCCAAAACGGAGGCCCGTGGAAACTGGCTAGTAGCCAAAATAACAAGCTTGTTTAATGGCTGGACTTTGTTAGGATTTTAAGACAGTACTATCAGTAAACAAGGGACGGTAACTTTTCTACATATAGGATGTGCTCTCACAAGCCTCTGAGCACCAAAGCCGGCACCTCCCACCTGCTAAGGGTCAACCAATTTAACAACTAGAACTAAACATTACATTTCATATTTTAAGTAGAATATCAACCAAAGTGGCCCGTGTCCTCCATAAATTAATAACATGTCATTCATCAGACCAAATTATATCTCAGTCAAGGTGGAAACCTGTGGCCCTGGGTTAGTAGCTTACCGGGAAAATGTGGAATACTTTGCAAGGTGTTTTAGTAATACTGATGTTTATATGTTCCGGAAATGTGGATAAGGGCCATTTTAGTAACATCACTAACGTAGCCGCAGGGAAAACGAGCGCCGGCGCGCTCGTGACGTCATTCCGGCGCGACCCTCTTGCATGCGTAGATTTTTCAGGCGGCTCCTGGGAACCATGCCGAAAGTGGTGTCTCGGTCAGTAGTCTGCTCTGACACTCGGGACCGGGAGGAATATGATGATGGCGAGAAGCCCCTCCATGTGTACTACTGTTTGTGCGGCCAGATGGTCCTCCTGCTGGACTGTCAGTTAGAGAAACTGCCCATGAGGCCCCGGGACCGGTCCCGTGTGATTGATGCTGCCAAACATGCCCGTAAGTTTTGTAACACAGAAGACCAGGAGACTGTGTATCTGCGGAGACCTGAAGGCACTGAACGACAGTACAGAAAGAAATGTGCAAAGTGTGGACTGCTGCTCTTCTACCAATCCCAGCCGAATAACGCTCCCGTTACCTTCATTGTGGATGGAGCATTAGTCAAATTTGGCCAGGCCTTTGGGAAAACGACCGTATATACTCAGAAACAAGAGCCTCCTAAGAAGGTGATGATGACCAAATGGACCAAAGACATGGGCAAGTTCACGTCTGTCACTGTGTCTACCATTGATGAAGAAGAAGAGGAGATTGAAGCTAGGGAAGTTGCTGATTCCTATGCGCAGAATGCCAAAGTGATTGAAAAACAGCTGGAGCGCAAAGGCATGAGCAAGATGCGACTGCAAGAGCTGGCTGAACTGGAAGCCAAGAAAGCGAAAATCAAGGGGACCTTGATTGACAACCAGTTCAAATAAACAGGCCTTCTTCTGAGCCCTAGACTGGAGGCAAGCATTTAGATCAGGAGGCAAAATAATTTCTTGATTACATAGACTGGTTCCTATTTATGTTCTAGCAGAAGGCTTTACGTTGTTTCCCATTGATTCTCCTACATTCAGTGAGGTCTTTAACTGGGTCCATTTGACTTGCTTTCCAAAAGATGGATTTTTCTCTAAATTTTTCTGTATTTAGGATTTCTGTACTATTTTTTGTCTATTTGTGCAAACTTCTTCAGCTGTGTAGAAACTTTATGAATAGATCAGTGCTTGAGTGTCTCTAGTCTCTAAAGTGGCTGGTTTTAGTCTTTCTTCAAAGTTAATAACATGTTTCAAGATTTTTGGAGAAAATATTATGGCGTATCATAGAGAAAAGCAGCATGAATTATATTTAGGTATAGTAAATCAGATCCTTTGAGTGACTCTGTCTCTGTTCTTAGAAGGGTTCTTGGAATTAACTGTGGTTTGAATCTTTCTACTGTCAGAGGAGACCCAATAAAAGCCAGAATCTGCATAAAGCTTTCTTTACTTCAAACACTGAAGCTAAAGGTGAGCCATTCCATGTCAGTGTTTATACTCAGAGAAGGAAAAGCCAGACTGCCGTGAAGGGCTAGGATAGCTCAGATCCGAACAAAGATAAGATCTCAGTCAGTAACCCAAGAGAGCTACCCTCTAGTCATACAGCTAGTACTGTTTCCTTGCATGGATACGTGGGAGACTAAAGATTAAGAAATGATAGCAAGATAAACAAAATGATATGTTGGGTATCTTTTACTTTACATTTGGTATTTGCAGAGGAGTGTTGTATGTATAGATATTACTGTATGTCACACTACGTCAGTGATACCTATATCCATGTGTTTGTATCCATGTTTATATCCGTTCCATTGTATTAAAAGGTGTTGGGACAGGAAAAAAAAAAAGTGATAGATTACTAAGTACATACAAAGAGGTTCTTCAGGTAAATTTTGGAGTAAGTATTAGATAATACTTTAGTAACATGGGCAAAGAGAATTCAGCAGAGTAAGATGTGATGAAAATTATGCAGCTTCATGTTTAAAGTCTGGGCTGTGAGAGTCCTGAGAGGAGGAAAGTATAGAAGAACCTTCTGAGTTGAAGGGCCAGGACTAGGGACCTGAGCTCCTCCTTTATGGATATGACAGATTCTAAGACAAGTAGTGCTTGCTAAGACTGAGATGTAAAAACAAAAAGGTTTCAAAGCAAATATATTCCCCCAGCTCCTCCATACAAACGGCTGTACTTCACTAAGCTACCAAGTTAGCTATAAGACAGAAGTTTTCTAATGCAAAACAACTTTGTATTTTAATTTTCTCTTCAGGACATTAGGGATCCTTTGTCTTTTGTTTCAGTGCTTCGAAATGTTCATTAATGGCACAAGCCCTAAGACAATGGCTAGAGAGAATTAATATTTTATAAAATTCTATTAGTTTGAGGTTAAAAAAATCAATGGCAAATTTACCAATTTTTTCTTAAAAGCACACTGAATCTAAAACAGGTAAAATACTACAAACTCTATAAAATCAGTTTAGATTCATTTTCTACTGCAGAAACAGTAAAAGTAATTTGGGTGATTTCCTAAATCTTAAATGGTGCAAAAGGCGGTTTGCTTAGTTATTATTGTGGGCAATGCGGATGAGTCCTCCTGTCTACTGTGAGAAATGTTCTCGCTCAGGGTCCCTTTTATGAAGATTCCTGGGAAAAATCATTTTCCAGTCCTAGTGTCAAGAACAGTTGTACTATTGGTTAAAAATTCATTGACTTTTGGCATTGGCTATTGGAGAATTTCTGGCAGTGAGTTTAAACAGAGTGCTTGATTGCAAACAGGTTATAACAGTTACTCAACTGTGTCCTTCCTTTGCTGCCAGGCCAGGTTGTCTTTACTTTGAAAAAGGTAAAAAGGACAAAACATATCTGCTTAGACATGTGGAGGCTTTTTGGTTAAACGCTTTTCTATTCATCGCTATGGGTACAGGGTAAAAAAATAATAATCACAAAGGTTCCAGGAAGTGGAAGGAGCTATGATTCTCATAGCTCACATTAATTCTCACTTCTAGAATTAACTATGAATCATGTCTTTTTCATCACCCATTCCTGGGGGCCCTCCATTCAGGGTGGCAGTGGTGAGAAGAATGTTGAAGTGAGAGCCAGGAGAGGAAGGCCCCTGTTTCGGTTCCACTACTGACTGGCACCTGGCTCTGTGACTTTCTCGCTTTGGATCACAGTACCCTCATCTTAAAATGAGGATGCTGGGCTGGACAATTCTATGGTTCTTCTAGAATGAACCATGTCTTCATGACAGAATGATAGTTTAGGGACAGTGGGAACATTTCCACTCTAGCCTCTGATTGAGGCCAGAAGTGAATACTCTACTCCATTACGGTCCCTGTGCCCAAAGCTCCAGCCCTCTAAGGATCTTGTTGCATGTCATCAGCATTCTCCAGGAACTCCTTTGTGAGCAGCTCCTGAGCACGAGATTCTTGAACATTTCCTGTCCATAAGTGCCCATCACACCCTGTAGGCAGCCAGGCATTAGACAGTGGAGAGATGCAGGGTTCTAGGAACCCTGCGTAAGCATGCACGCTCAGGAGGGACTTTCTTACCAAACAGCTCAATGTAGACCTCCTGAAGTGTATGCACACTGCAGAACTGGTTCAGCTCGTGGTGGATCTTGTTGAAGATGAGGGCCTTGTCGTAGTCGGCAGTATAGTTCTTCACTATATCATACACTGGGAGGGAAGGAAAGGGCTTGACATAAGAAAAGGCGAGACTCAAAATGCCCTTAGACACAGCTCCTTTCCTTTTGAGATGCCATGCCAGGTATAGGACTGGCATGCTGGGGAAAGTGAGCCGGTGGTGTGAGTCAATTGTAGGACATACCTGCATTCGGGACCAGGAAGTTCACCACTTCAATTCTGTCAAAGTAGATCATCACACCACCACTATTGGAGGGAGAATGGACAAAAAGTCACTGGGAAGCTCTGGAATATGGTGCAGTCCCCGAAGGCGATGGCGTAAGATGGCGGGCTTGGCAGAAAAGGAGTAGAAGAGTTCATAGGAGGCTGGAAGGCAGCTTGGATCTCCAGGTAGGAGTTCCACAGGGCTTATGGCAACAGCACACTCTCCTGAGAAATCACACTACCTAGGAACATCTCTACAAAGACACAAGTGAGACTTTTGGGGCCAGCATAAAAGAGTAACTTGTATCTTTGGAATCAGCAATGCCTTTTGATTGAAATAATCAGTTGCACAGAAAAGTCTAAGGAGGGTCAAGAAGTTTTCAGAACTTACAAGGTTACGGTGGAGTTTTGTGGTCAATGTTTCTTAAACTATCTTCACTATCACTTTAGTGTCGCACTCCCCTTGCCCTCAAATATATTTTTTTTTTTTTTTTTTTTTTTTTTTTGAGACGGAGTTTCGCCCTTGTTACCCAGGCTGGAGTGCAATGGCGCGATCTCGGCTCACCGCAACCTCCGCCTCCTGGGCTCAGGCAATTCTCCTGCCTCAGCCTCCTGAGTAGCTGGGATTACAGGCACGTGCCACCATGCCCAGCTAATTTTTTGCACTTTTAGTAGAGACGGGGTTTCACCATATTGACCAGGATGGTCTTGATCTCTCGACCTCGTGATCCACCCGCCTCGGCCTCCCAAAGTGCTGGGATTACAGGCTTGAGCCACCGCGCCCGGCCGCCCTCAAATATTTATTATAGAAAGATTTCAAACATATAGAGAAGCTGAAAGAAGAGTACAACTAATAACCATATACAGACACCTAAATTCAACACTGGTAACATTTTATCTATTTTTTTTTCTGAACATTTCAAAGTAAGCTGCAGTTAGGATACTTTTTTACTTTGGCAAGCAATGTCTAAGGATAATCATTCTCCTATACACTCGTGATAACATTCTCAAGCCTAAGAAAATTAGCAGTAATTCTGTAGTATCACCTACTACCCAGTCCTTATTCAAATTTTTCCCCAACAGTTTGTGTTACGAAGTGACCTGTGTACGCCTCACCCCTAGATTCATATGTTGAAGCCCTAACCCCCAGTGTGCCCGTATTTGGAGATTAGGCCTTCAAGAAGGTAATTAAGTTTAAATAGATCACAAGAGTGGGTCCTGATTCAACAGGTCTGGTACCCACCGAAGACCTTTCTCTCTCAGACAGAGGCAAGGCCATATGAGGACATGGCATAAAGGTGGTCACCTGTAAGCCAGGAAGAGAGGTCTCACCAAAACTACCCCTGCTGCACCCTGATCTTAGACTTTGGGCCTTTAGAATGGTGAGAAAATAAATAACTATTGTTTTAGACTCTGGGTGTGTGATCCTCTGTCATGGCAGCCTGGGTGGACTCACACAATTCCTGTTGTACCCGTCATGGCTATTTTATTTTTTAAATTATTTTATTTTTTATTTTTTATTTTTAAAAATAGAGATGGGGTTTCACCATGATGGCCAGGCTGGTCTTGAACTCCTGACCTCAGGTGATCCACCCACCTCGGCCTCCCAAAGTGCTAGGATTACAGGCGTGAGCCACCGCACCCAGCCCTATTTTAAACCAGGTTCTAATCAACGCTCACCCTTGCTCACTGTTTATGTCTCTTGTAAGTCTCTGTTCTATCCCGCATCTCTCTAAATACAACCACTTTGTGAAGAGATCAGGCCTATTATCTTGTGGAATGTTCCAATTCTGGATCTGTCAGAGCGTTTCTTTGCGGTATTCTTGGTTACTCGATCCCAGTTTAAACTCTCCTTTCTTTCCAAAGGGACTGCTATAGCAGTGCTTCCTTCGGATCTCTTTGCCCTGAAGGTCTCCCCTACCTTTATGACATTCCCCTTAGTTATACAACAGTTATCTTCTTGTATCAGGCCATTTATCTGCTTAAAAAACCTTTGTGCACCCTCACTTCATTTCAAATATTAAAATTTTATTTTTTTCCCACTTTAAGTAAGTTCGAAAGTACATGTGCAAGATGTACAGGTTTGTTACATAGGTAAACGTGTGCCATGGTGGTTTGCTGCTCAGATCATCCCATCACCTAGGTATTAAGGCCAGCACGCATTAGCTATTCTTCCTGATGCTCTCTCTCATCCCGACTCCGTACCCTCTGACAGGCCCCAGTGTGTGTTGTTCCCCACCACGTGTCCATGTGTTCTCATCATTCAGCTCTCACTTCTAAGTGAGAACATGTGGTGTTTGGTTTTCTGCTCCTGGGTTAGTTTGCTGAGGATAATGGCTTCCAGCTCCATCCATGTCCCTGCAAAGGACATGACCTCATTCCTTCATATGGCTGCATAGTACTCCATGGTGTATACTTACCACATTTTCTTTATCCTGTCTATGTTGATGGGCATTCAGGTTGATTCCAAGTCTTTGTTACTGTGAATAGTGATCCTCACATCTAATAGAGTAAGTGTAAACTCCTGTATTAGGCAGGGCATTCCAGCCCCTCCCGAACCATCTATGATTTCCTCTACTGTACTCCATCACATGAAATCAATACAGGGAGCTACTGGGCAGGGAATTAATCAACGAAGGGTGCCCCTTTTTCACTGTCTCTTCCTGCAGCCAGCCAGACAGCCCTTTCTCTGACTTATTTGGGCTTAACAGCTTTATTCTGGGTACCTTACCTAGTCCCACAAGGTACATTCTTCACCTCATCTGTCTGGAGTGTGGTCTGGAAACAGAGGAAACATAAAATGCTAGAAGATGGGCAGTGACAAAGTAACTTACTTTTCAGAATTCCAAACACCTTTGTCCTGGAATAACTGTTTGGGTTGCACTTTGCCTTTGCTGAACATGATTGCCCCTCCTAATCCTCCTTCCTCATGTCATTGCTAAGACAAGCAAAGGCCCCTGCCCCAGCCTCACTGTCAGTGAACCACCACACGAACAAGCTGAGTAATAATGGTTTAGTGAAGACGACACTGGATTGGTGTCTTAAGACTTGTGCTTACTTCTACCTCTTCTATTTAAGGTAGGTACCACCTTATCCTCAGGGGGATATGTTCCAAGACCCCCAGTAGATGCCTGAAACCGCAAAGAGTACCAAGCCCTATAGATCCATGTTTTTTCCTATATGCACATACCTATGATAAAGTTTAATTTGTAAATCAGGTACAGCAAGCAATTAATGAGTAATCAACTAGAACAATTATAACAATATACTGATATGTTATGTCAAGGTGGTTTCTCTCTCTCTCTGAAAATATCTTACTGAACTGTAGTCCCCTGTTTTCAGAACATGGTTTATTGTGGGTAGCTGAGTCTATGGAAAGTGAAATAGTGGACAAGGGGGAGGACTACTGTACCAGTTTAGAAACAACAGATTACTGATTTAACCCATCTCAGAACCTAACACCTGCTCAGCCCATTCTCAGGATTACTGCAAGACTCAAATGAGATAGTGTACCTGAATGCACTTTGAAAGCCACAAGAGCCTGATAATCAAAACACGAAACTTACAGGGAAAATGGCTAGGAGACATCCCAAGACATTCTCCTGGATCAGTGTAAAGTATAAAATCTTTTCATTCTTCTTTGCTGAACATACTTCAGAGATGGCGAGTCTAACTCACCCAGGCTTTAGGTGTACCACAACTAATCTCATTCCTATTTAGATGTTATCTCTCCTCACTTAGGTCAACTTCTCCCCACTCACTGCAAAAATTATGCTCAGATTTCTGAAGTTCAAATACGAATCAGCAAAATGACCACGTTTGCTTTCCAGCTAACATGGTAGCCTGTGATTTAAAACTTACACACATACAACCCGACTCTTCCTTCCATACACTCAGAACAGGTTCTTCTCTGGCTTTATCTTGAAGGAAGAACCCCCGGTCTCATTATCTCTCTCTCTCTCTTTATATATATATATGTAAATAAATTATTCTTATATAATTCTCTGGAATGGCATTTTACTTATCCATTGGCTAAATAATTTTAAATCACGAACTAGTCAACAGCCCAAATTTGTAGTCGTCCAACCATATCACAGAGGCCAAGCATACCTGCACAGACTTATATGACGTGATGAAAGGGAGCATGAGATGGAAACCAGGGCCGCTGGTCGAAGTCAGCAGGGCACCGCCTCTGCAGAGGAGGGGGAGAGAGAGGCAGCTTCAGTTTGGCAAGAGGATCTGTTAGATCAAGATCGTGAGGGTCAACTTTCCCTTCAGCCCTATAAACATATAATAGAGAGTGACATGTGCTGGAGCCATGCCACAGATCCCTTTCTTCCTCTCAGCTAGACCTTAATATTCTAGGAAGCCTGACAGTAAAACATAAAACCACTGTTCATGCTTTTGCAAGGAGAAAAAGAGGCATACAGGTGACACGGAATAATGACAGCAGAATCCGCTAGATGCAGTCCCAGCGCTTTGGGAGGCTGAGGTAGGAGGGCTGCATGAGCCCAGGAGTTTGAGACCAATCTGTCTCAAACAGTGAGACCCTGTCTCTACAAAAGAAAAGGAAAAAAATTGGCTGAGTATGGTGATTGCATGCCTATAGTCCCAGCTACTTGGGAGGCTGAGATGGAAGAACTGCTTGAGCCTGCGAGCTTGAGGCTGCAGTGAGCCATGATTGTGCCACTGCACTCCAGCTTGGGCAACAAAGTGAGACTTAGTCCAAAAAAAAAAAAAAAAAAAAAAAAAGACAGCGGAATCCATGGGTATATTAGATAAGAGGAAGTCTGTTTTACTTTGTCATATCTGTTGGGCTTGTGGCAATCCACTGGATCAATTAAATCCAGTAATATGGTTATCAACTACCTGCACCAAAAGATTAATTTGAAGTGCTTTATAAGTAATTGAAATATATGTTTTGGCAAGAGAGTTACCTTTCTAATCAAGTTATATGTAAATGATAAAGTTACAAGCCTTTTTGGGGAACATGTAAGCAGATGATAGGGACAAAGAATTAAAGGAGAGAGGAATCCAATCAGAGTTTAGAACTAGCTGTTGGCAATCCAGAAATAAACATCACAACAGCATATATAAGAGTTCATGCCAGGCGCGGTGGCTCAAGTCTGTAATCCCAGCACTTTGGGAGGCTGAGGCGGGTGGAACACAAGGTCAAGAGATCGAGACCATCCTGGTCAATATGGTGAAACCCCGTCTCTACTAAAAATACAAAAAAGTAGCTGGGCATGGTGGCACATGCCTGTAATCCGAGCTACTCAGGAGGCTGAGGCAGGAGAATTGCCTGAACCCAGGGGGCGGAGGTTGCGGTGAGCCGAGATAGCGCCATTGCACTCCAGCCTGGGTGACAAGAGTGAAACTCCGTCTCAAAAAAAAAAAAAAAAAAAAAAGAGTTCATAAAGACATAAAGCAAAAAATTGGGTCATGGAGGTTACCAAAAAGAAAGCAACTCAAGCCTTACAAGTGCTTCTTTGCTTTATATTATGCAAAGAATTTTAAAAAAGGTGACGTAACGGGCTTCTTTATTGTAGGAATCACTATTGTAAGGCTTGCTTTAATTGACATAAGTCAACCTGCAGGCTCTTTCATTTTTCCTGAAATGTTAATATTATTGTAATTTAGTTTTAGAGATAGGGTCTTGCTCTGTCACCCAGGCTGGAGTGCAATGGTGTGATCACAGCTCACTGCAGCCTCAAACTCCTGGGCTCAAGTGATCCTCCTGCCTCAGCCTCCTGAGTAGCTAGGACTACACGTGTGTGACACCATAGCTGGCTAACTGAATTTTTTTTTTCTTAGCGATAGGTTCTCACTACGTTACCCAGGCTGACTGAAATGCTAATTTTAAAAGAGTATCCCAAGTTAGCAAAGTAGGCTACCTTCTCAAGTTGCCATCAAGAACTCAGACTCAGCTGGCTTTTGCAGTGTGGAGCCAAGACTGCCAGGGGGATGTAGGAGAAAACAGTATTTTAGGGGTATCTGTGAGGAGCACTGGTTTCCCTTAAGTTTTGTCTCTAAATCTATGTATGCATTTATTAATCACCACCCATGGCATCATCTTGAACTACTAAGGGAAGTAACAAACTTACATATATACATATTCGCTTTCCCACGATTACTGACATAAAAAGCTCAATCTAAAAAGGCTCCCCTATTCAAGGAAACATAAACATAGATGTTCAGCAGAATCTGCTAGGAAAGCAGTGACCAGGAAAGGGAGCTATTTAACAGGAAGTTGCAGGCTTCTCCCTGTCTCTGCCTTACCTGTAATATACCCCAATATGTCCCTCTTCTATCTTGTGCACAGCTGAGAAGAGAGATGCACAAAAGAAACTGGAAACCACGGCCACAGCTGCTCCCAACTGAGCCATCAGTGAGCCTGTATCCTAGGGAAAAGACACGGGAAAACGTGTGTGGTCTAACGTGCAGGAGAAAAGGCCACAACAGCGAGAGGACCTCACCAAGCTGAGCTCCCTGAGTGACTCACATCCAGCCTGGTGTCGTGTGAACACAAGGCTAAATCCACAACTCGCTTCCTCCTCGCTCTCAGTCAACGTTCCCCTTCCCTAACTGTGGAATTCGAGTCCCCACCGCACTGAGGAAGCACTGGCTCCGGATACAGCCATCGCTCAAGGAAGAACCCGTGCCAGCTGGGAAGGGTTCAAAAACACAGCCTTGTCTTCCTGTGAACACGAATGTGCTGTCACTGAACCTCTCATACTAGTAGTAGGGAAGAGAGGCAGCTGCAGTACTTTGGGCCAAATTACAGAGGATGTCAAATGACAGGCAGTTGTGGCTATGTAATTCTGGTCAGAGCCTCCCACTCCTAATTGCCTGCAGTTTCAAGGGAAACCATTATTTACTCCTTTCAGATGCTGGAGTGCCAGAGCCGGCAGGCGAACAGAGTTCCAAGGTAGGATTCGCTGGCCTCGCATCCACCTTCCCATTTATTCCTTTAGCCCTAAATAGGACAGAGCTCTCAACAAGCCTGGAGCCACACTCCCCCCATATATTCTCGCACTTTACACCTGACAGATCCCCAAGCTCGTGGTCAGAGACAAAGGGAATGTCCCAAACTGGGAGCCTCTGGGCTCCCGGGTCCAACCGCGTTCAGGCACCAGGACGCGGAGGAGGTGGATCCTGAACGCTGAATGATCTGGAACTATGGTGACTGCAAAGTTCAGCTGTGCGTGCGCGGGCCCGTGAGCGCAGGGCGTGGATTCTGCCTCCCAGGTCTAAACGTGACCCGGGCGCGGACATCTGCGAGGCGCTGATTTTACCGTGGCGGCCTCCGGCTACCGATCTGCGGTTGCGTCCTTTCTGCCAGTGCCCTTCCCTCCCCGAGGTCAATCGTGCCCCTTCCCCGCCCCGTTCCGAGAGAGGGTCAAGCACCCTGGGCTGGGGCTGCGGCTCCAAGAGTCTCCGCTCGGTCCCCCTGAGGCTCGCAAGGAGGGGACGCGACAGAAGAGGGTTTCTGTCTCGCTCCAGGAGCGGGCCGGCTGAGGGAGACGGGCTGCTGGGACAGGGGTTCCCGAGGGTGGCGGGTTAGTCCCGGCCGAGAGCAGCAGCTAGGCCCAGCGCGCGTACACAGGGGCGGGGGCCGCGTACCAGGCTGTCCCTCCAGGCGCTCCGTACTGGTCCGAGCCCCAGTGCAACGGTAGAATCCGCCACACCCCTCAACACGCGACTTCCTTCCGGGCCGTCGCTTCGATGACGCCATCAGTTCACGCGAGAAGACCACACTCCCACCCCTCGCTCATTCTGCGCCCCGCCCCTCGCGTTCCCAGTGGTCTGTGGCCGCAGGTGGCCGCCAGGGATCGCCCGCGACTCGGTTCGTGCGGTCCTGGACGTCGGTCTCGGGTATCCGGACTGGGGCTGGGGATGAGAGCGGGGAAGGTGGGAGCTCCCCGAGAACGAGCGGCGGGACGCGCGTGGCCGAGAGTGCTGAGACCCAGGGTGTCCCTTTTCAAGGCACTGACTTTGGGGATTGCTCCGGATTTCCCTCCGCAGAAGGCCGAACCTGGTTAGTTTTTTTTTTTAATTAGAGACAAGGTCTAACTCTTTTGCCCAGGCTGGAGTGCAGCGCACGGTCATAGCGCACTGCAGTCTCAAACTCCTGGGGTTAAGCGATCCTCCCACCTCAGCCTCCTGAGTAGCTGGGACCACAGGCGCACTCCATGGCACTTGACAATTTTGTTTTTAGTAGAGACAGGGTCTCTGTAAGTCTGGTCTCAAATCCCGGCTTCAAGCAATCCTCCTGTCTCGGCCTCCCGACGTGCTGGGATTACAGGCGTGAGCTGCCACGCCGACCGTTTTTTGTTTTGTTTTTCCCCCTTAATCAGGTACTAGCAAGTTGCAACTGTTCTCTTTCCTATAACACAGCTGAAACAATCTTTTCAATGTGCAGATTAGCATCATTACCTTACTAATTAATAATCCCTATGTTGAATTGTCCTTTATATTTTTCTGGGAGCTTTGGCCCTTGTGATCCTGCAACACCACAAAGTATACTAACAAGGAATTATTATCCTAATTTTAATGAACGAGATCTAAGAAGTTCAGCGAGGTTCAGGGGTAAAAACAGCCAAGGAGGCTGGGCGTGGTGGCTCACCTCTGTAATCTCAGCACTTTGGGAGGCCGTGGTGGGCGAATCACCTGAGGTCAAGAGTTCGAGACCAGCCTGGCCAACCTGGCGAAATCCCATCTTCTACTAAAAATATAAAAATTAGCCGGGCGTGGTGGCCGGCTCCTGTAGTTCCAGCTACTCAGGAGGCTGAGGCAGGAGAATCCCTTGCACCCTGGAGGTGGAGGTTGCAGTGAGCCGAGATTGTGCCATTGTAGTCTAGCCTGGGCAACAAGAGCAAAACTCCTTCTCAAAAACAAAAAACAAACAACAACAAAAAATAGCCAAGGAAAGCTTCCTTTGCGTTTCCTTAATATCTTGAGTTTACCGCCTTTGTAACCCCCGCCACAGTACACAGGGGCTTGTGCATTTCATCGTCTTTATGGATAAACTGTCCATCCATTCCCCGGAGAGCAGAGACTGACTTTCCTTCCGCACCCCACCCACCCGACTCCCCGCACTGCGCCGGGCTTAGGTGCACAGTAAATGCAGACTGAAGGCAACGTGAGATCAGGCCCGGAATTCAGATTGTGTCTCCTAGTCTAAGGGCCTCAGGTTGTCCTCAATCTGCCCTATTCACCAGCATCACATTGGGGCATTTCTAATTCAACCACTGAAGTTATTAATATTTTGTTTGCAGGAGAGAAAGAGTCCGCTTAATTATAGCCTTCAGTAAGTAAAAAACTTTTCCACCGGGAAGATGGCAAGCTGGTGGTGTTTGACAGATTTAAGACTCAGGAAAAGGGAAGTGTGGTTTTTTCAGGCATGCCTGCTTGGGATTGGCCCGTTTGCCTTTCCTCGGTTTGCTCTGAGTGTTGGGATGTTTCAGCATTACATGGTGAAGCCCATAAGAGGGTTACATGGTGCTGTCTGGGAGCTCTGTGTCCATCTCCATAAATGGAGGCCTTTCCTCTCCCTACTCTGTCCCTGCATCCCCCACTCCGAACAGACAAAGCTGGCCATTCTCTTGACGGATCCTGTCAGAACTTGAGTGTTTTCTCTCCAGGTTCAGTGATATAACTCAGCTGGGCATGCTTAATAAATGTTCATTTAATAGTTGAGTGAGTAAGAAAAATGGAAATATTAGGGTTCATCAACCCAAGAAATCGGGGCTAGCCTGCAGCATCAAGTATTTAAATTACTTGTAATTTAAGAATTTCATTTAACCAACCTCTGGCAACCCCCATCTTCCATCCCCTTCCTATAAGTATGTACTATTATTATGTGTCACTTAGAAATAATAAAAGCACAATAATTTCCTCATAGTAAACTTTAGAGTGAATTGTGGGTAGAAGTTTTGGGATTTTTGTTCTTAGGAGGCTTTTTACCAGGCCTGGGTTATTTAGTTGTGGACCTGCCTAAAGGCAGGGGGGTGGATGTCAGTAGATGACCTAGTACTTCTGAAAACTTTCTTAAGAGACTTGGGATTTTTATGTTACCCAGCAGTGATTTATTTAACACAAGAGTTTACAATTTCTTCCTTCCTTTCTTTCTCTCTGTCTCTCCCTCCCTCCTTCCTTCCTTTCTTCTTTCTCTTTTTTTTGAGACGGAGTCTTGCTCTGTCGCCAGGTTCAAGTGCAGTGAGCAATCTTGGTTCAGTGGAACCTCCACCTCCTGGGTTCAAGCAATTCGCTTGCCTCAGTCTCCCAAGTAGCTGGGACTACAGGCACGTGCCACCACACCCAGCTAATTTTTGTATTTTTAGTAGAGATGGGGTTTCACCATGTTGGCCAGGATGGTCTCGATCTCTTGACCTTGTGATCTGCCTGCCTCAGCCTCCCCAAATGCTGGGATTACAGGCGTGAGCCACCGTGCCCGGCCTCTCTTTCTCTTTCTTTCTTTCCTTCCTCCTTCTTTCTTTTTTTCTCTCTTTTTTTTTTTTTTTTTTTTTTTTTTTTGAGACGGAGTTTCGCTCTTGTTACCCAGGCTGGAGTGCAATGGCGCGATCTCGGCTCACCGCAACCTCCGCCTCCTGGGCTCAGGCCATTCTCCTGCCTCAGCCTCCTGAGTAGCTGGGATTACAGGCGCGCGCCACCATGCCCAGCTAATTTTTTATATTTTTAGTAGAGACGGGGTTTCACCATGTTGACCAGGATGGTCTCGATCTCTCGACCTCGTGATCCACCCGCCTCGGCCTCCCAAAGTGCTGGGATTACAGGCTTGAGCCACCGCGCCCGGCCTCTTTTTTTCTCTCTTTCTTTCTTTCCTTCTTTCTCTTTCTTTCTCTCTTTTTCTTTCTCTCTCTCCCTCCCATTTCTTTCTTCTTTCTTTCTCTCTCTCTCTCCCCTCCATGCCCTCCCTCTCTCCCCCCTTCCCTCCCTTGCCCTCCCCTCCCCTTCCCTTCTTTCTTTGTCTTGCTCTGTCACCCAGGTTGGAATTGCAGTGGCACAATCTTGGCTTACTACAGCCTCCATTTCTCGAGTTCAGGCGATTCTCCTACCTCAGCCTCCCGAGTATCTGGAACTACAGATGTATGCCATCACGACTGGCTAATTTTTGTATTTTTAGTAGAGAGAGGGTTTTACTATGTTGGTCAGTCTGGTCTTGAATTCCTGACCTCAAGTGATCCACGTGGCTCGGGCTCTCAAAGTGCTGGGATTACAGGTGTGAGCCACCACCGTGCCTGGCTAAAATTTTGTTTTAAAAAAATGTCGCAGTATAGAGTAGTGATTTAGCTCAGATACTCCACAGTCAGGCTGTCTTGTTTAAATCCTGGACCCTGCCTCTTAGTTCTGTAACCTTGGAAAATTATCTGTCCCTCACAAGAGGGAGGGACAGTTCCTTCATCTATAAAATCAAAGTAATAATTATATGAAAGTCATAGGACTATTGTGAAAAGCACACATAACATTTGGTAAATTTTGTGTTCACCAAATGTTAGCTGTAATAGCAAATTCCCTTAATGTGTTCTTGCATGTTTGGGGGTTGTTATTGCAGGTTATTAATGTGACACAGGGCAAGAGAATGATAAACTTTAAGCTGTATGGTATGAATAATAACCAATGAAAGCTTATCAGAAGAAGAGATAAAGGCTTCTGAAATTATACCTCAATAGATATTTGTAATACAGATTTCATAAAGCTTTATTGAATAATGTCTATGTAGCAGCCCCGGTGCCTTACTTTTTCTCATTTTATGTAATCTTTAGGTCAGCCCTTTGAGTTCAACTCCATTTTAGAGGAGAAAGTTGAAGCTTAGATAAATTAAGAGATTGTCTAAGATCACGAAGATGATAAATTGCAAAGGCAGAGTTCAAATGATCTCGTCTCTTTTTTTTTTTTTATAGTGAATGAGTTAGAAAATGATTCAGTTTCACACACATACACATGTGCACACACACACATCACGTGTGTGTAACCTTTCTGTAACCTTTCAGAAATGTAGATCAGTGGTCAGAAATTATGAAACTTTTTAAATTAAATTGGACCAGTTTATTTTGCAGTTTTAGGTTGAAGCAGGTTAAAAAATACTCTCACCCAGCAATCCATAATGTTCTATTCTATTGCTGTTTGTTGGGTCCTCTGATCAAGAAAATTGTTAGTGAGAGCGCCATTCCAAAGAGAGAAGAGACCCCTTCTTTCACAATTAGAGTTTTTAAAGTCAATTTCACAATTAGACTTTTAAAGTCAATAACCAGGTTAACTCCAAAAGATTCAGGCAACTCTTAAAATCTGTCACTTCAGTTCAGTTCAGTATCACAAGAGTGGAAGTTGCTGGAAAAAGTTTCTGCTTGATTTAAAGTTTATCTTTTTTACCTTAGGCTCTAAAACAGAGAAGAGAAAACATCTTTTAGAATGTTTGATTCCAGTAAGATTTTAGTGAGCTTAGGCGAAAAGGAATGAACTATATCCCTAATTATTAAGGGGGCTCATAAATTTTTCCTCTTTTCTTTTTTTTCAATTGCAAAAATCAGGATTGGTGACTTCCAAGAACAAAAGCATATTTGCTTGGGGCTAATGAGGTTTCTTCAAGGCAATTGGGTAAAGGGATCAAAGAGCCATCAGGAAAAAAAATTGAGCTGAAAGCTAAAAGGCACCAAAAAGGTCATTTTGTGATTACATGTTTTTACAGCTTTATTGAGATGTAATTGACATGTAATAAACTGTTCATAAAGTCTACAATTTACGTTTTGATTTGCAAACCTTGTGAAGCCATTACCACAATCAAGGTAATGAACACATGCATCATGCCTCCAAATTTCCCCATGCCTCTTTGCAATCTTTTCCTCTTACCCCTCTTTGGGACACCCCTTTTTCGATGCTCAAAAGACCACTGATCTGCTTTTGCCACTAGTGTGCATTTTGTAGAATTTTATTTTATTATTTGATTATTTTTTATTTTTTTAAAGATGGGGTTTTACCATGTTGGTCAGGCTAGTCTTGAACTCCCAACCTCAGGTGATCCGCCTGCCTTGGCCTCCAAAGTGCTTGGATTACAGGCATGAGCCACCACACCCGGCCCTAGAATTTTATATGAATGGAATCGTATAGCATGTACTCTTTTTGAGGGGAGGGTCTCGCTTTTTTGAAAACCCAAAGTAATTATTTTGAGATTCATCCATGTTGTTGAGTCTATCAAGAGTTCCTTCCTTTTTATTGCTGTGTAGTGTTTGATTGTATAGCTACACAATTGTTTATCTACTCATCTCTTGACAGACAGATAGGTTATTGCCTATGATTTTGATCCAACACATTACTTTTACTTGTAGAGAAGTCCGAGGAGAAGAAGTCTCCAGAAAGGGGGCTTGGCTAAGGTCCCTACTGCATTTGGGAATGATGAAGAGGAGCCTGTGACCCTGAGATTGTGTTCCAACAAGCCTGGCAGTTGCATTTTGGCTTGGCCTCGTTTGCCTGGGATGATCTTTCCTTTCCTTTTCTTTTTTTTTTTCTTTTTCTTTCTTTTATTTTTTTTTAAGTGGGGTTTCACCATGTTGGTCAGGCTGGTCTTGAACTCCCGACCTTAGGTGATCTGCCTGCCTTGGCCTCCAAAGTGCTTGGATTACAGGCGTGAGCCACTACGCCCGGCCGGATGATCTTTCCTTTAACCCTCCTACTCGGAATTTATAGTAACATTAGGAATTTAAAAAAAATGATTGTATGAAATTTTATGTACATATATTTATCTACACATCTCTCTATGTCATTGATAGACTTCTTTTTTGCTGTACGTAAGAGATACCTTATATACTGGGATGTGAGTCTCAGGATAAGGTAGCCCATGTTTATTCTAGGCCAATCTTTCTTCACCTGGTTTCTTAATCTCATCCTCCTCTCTCCTCAGGGACCTAGAGCCTTTAATTATCTCCTTTCTACCAGTTCTTTAGCCACAGCCTGTAATCTTGTGCAATTTCTCCACGCCCTTCCCTTTAAGCCTCTCCGTTGATCCTGTGTAAGCCTCTAGTTCTTACCCGATTTGTCTCCTTCCCTTTGAGGAAAGTTTATTGAAAAAGTAGCCTACACTTGATGTCATTACTTCCTCACTTTCTGTTCCCTTGTTCTTAACCCTTCAGTTCCTTTCTCTGATGCACGTGGTACTGTTGATTGGCCCCCTGAATGCTTAGACCCCTCATCCCTTGGCCTCTGTGAATTACTCTTTCCCTCCTGGGTTTCTGTCTATTGTCCATATGTTCCTATTTTTAATCTCTACCATGAGCTCATCCTCAGCTCTTCCTCAGAACTCTGTCTTTGACCTACTGCTCTTCTTTCTTTTTCTTTTCTTTTATTTTTTTGAGATGGAGTTTTGCTCTTGTTGCCCAGGCTGGAGTGCAACGGTGTGATCTTGGCTCACTGCAGTCTCCACTTCTTGGGTTCAAGCGATACTCCGGCTTCAGCCTTCCAAGTAGCTGGGATTACAGGCGCCCACCACCATACCCGGCTAACTTTTGTATTTTTAGTAGAGATGGGGTTTTGCCATGTTGACCAGGCTGGTCTTGAATGCCTGACCTCAAGTGATCCACCCGCCTTGGCTTCCCAAAGTGTTGGGATTACAGGTACGAGCCACTGTGCCCGGCCCCTACTGCTCTTCCTTCTCTGTCTTCTCTTTCTGGAAGGCCTCTTGTGTTCTCTATATTCTAATTATAGGGCCGCTGGTGACGCTCCTAAATGCATATTAATAACCATGAGCTACACACTAGAATACCATTTCTTTGGATTTTGGACAGGGAGAAATGGATCATCTCTAAAATGGAACTCATAGGTCCCTTTAAACATCCTCCTCCCACTAAAGATGTCACTATTCACTCAACCATCCAGGGTAGACACTCAACTGGCCACTGACTTTAACCTGCCCCATCCATCCTAATTATTCCTTGACGCCATACTTCCCTCTCCAGGCAGTTCAGGGCTTTATCACCCTAACATTAGGATTATTGTAATAACCTAATGTTAGCCAACTCTTTGCCCCAACCTTGCCATTCAACTTAAATTATTGTGTTGGCCACAGTGTACCCATGTGTTCTTTGATGTATACTTTTCCTGCTTTAAAAACACCGTAATAGGTTTCCTACTGAAAAAATTCAAATCCTCTTAACTTTATTCATATAAGATCTTTAATGATGTGATCCCCTACCTATACCTTCAGCTTTTAGATCTTATTCTGTAGTTTTTTGTATTTTGCTAGACCAGCTCTTATTCGTCTTTTCTCTCTTTTTTTTTTTCTCTGTCACAGGCCAGGCTGGAGTGCAGTAGCACAATCTCAGCTCATTGCAAGCTCCGCCTCCTGGGTTCAAGAGATTCTCCTGCCTCAGCCCCTCCAAGTAGCTGGGAATACAGGCACACGCTACCACGCCTGCTTAATTTTTGTATTTTTAGTAGAGATGGGGTTTCACCATGTTGGCCAGGCTGGTCTTGAACTCTTGACCTCAAGTGATCCACCTCCCTAGGCTTCCCAAAGTGCTGGGATTACAGACGTGAGCCACTGTGCCCGGCCTTATTCATCTTTCAAGACCCTTCTAGGTATTTCTTCTGTGTGTCCACAGTATCCTGTGCATTCTTGTCATACGGCACTCATTATAATACACTGAAACATTCTAGTTCTTGTCTGTGCTTCTCGAAAGACTGTAAGATCCATGAGGGCAGGAACTTCATCTATTCATCTTTGTATTCATCCCACCCCCTGGAGGGTCTAACATAATTCCTGGCACAGAATAAGCACTCAGTAAGTGTTTGTCAACTAAAATAATAAACATCCATGACCTGGTAAAATGTAAATGCACTGTCAGTTATACCAGGTCGTTGAATGCTCATAGAAATCCATCAGGGTAATATCACCACAAGCCTACTTAACAGATAAGGACACACAGGGAAGAGGGCTTCAGCAATTCCTCAAGGTCACAGGAAGATCAACTGATTGGAAATCCAATATTTTTTTCCCCTTACATTTGTGAATTTGGAAAATGTCAAGGCATCAGGACAGAGATTTTTTTGACTCTATAAACATGTATTGAAACAACTACTATCTATGAGCCACAATCCTAAGTATGAAAGCAATGAAGGAGAGTGGAGGAGACCCCTTATGCCTGGTAAGGTTCTAGACACTCAGTCTCTCTTCTCCCTCCCTCCCTTCCTTCCTTCCTCCCTCCTTCCCTCCGTCAGTCCTTCCCTCCCTCCCTCCCTCCCTTTCTTCCTTCCTCCCTCCCTCCCTCCCTCACTCCCTTCCTCCTTTTTATTTTATTTACTTAGTGGTGAGACAGGGTCTCACTCTTTCACTCAGCCTGGTGTGCAGTGGCACAAGCATAGCTCACTATAGCCTCGAACTCCTGGGCTCAAGTGATCCTCCTGTGTGAGCCTCCTGAGTAGCTAGGCTACAGGTGCACGCCACCATGCCTGGTTTATTTTTGTGGAGATGAGGTCTCACTGTGTTGCCCAAGGCAGGTCTCACACTCCTGGTCTCAAGCAATCCTCCTGGCTTGGCCTTCAAAAGTGCTGGGGTCACAGGCGTGAGCCACCATGCTGGCCCTTCCTTCCTTTTTTTCATTCTTTCTATTTTTCCTTCTCTTCCTTTCTTTTTTCCATGATGTGGGGTAGAGGGGCTGGCTTGTGCATTGTAGGTTGTTGAGCAGATTCTCTGGCCTCTATCCCTAGATGCCGGAAGCAACACCCCCACCTCATTGTGATAACCAAATACGTCTTCAGACATTGCCATATGTCCCCAGTTGTATGTGCGTGAGACAATTTTGCCCCCAGCTGAGAACCACTGTGGTGTGGATAGACTTAAAAGTGGAGGGAATTGGAGGCTGAGGTGGGCAGATCATGAGGTCAAGAGATCAAGACTATCCTGGCCAACATGAGGAAACCCCGTCTCTACTAAAAATACAAAAATTAGCTGGGCATGGTGGCGAATGCCTCTGGTCCCAGCTACTTGGGAGGCTGAGGCAGGAGAATTGCTTGAACCTGGGAGGCAGAGGTTGCCGTGTGCTGAGATCACGCTGCTGTACTCCAGCCTGGTGACAGAGCAAGACTCAGTCTCAAAAAAAAAAAAAAAAAAAGAATGAAGAACAAGAGGGCAAGCTTTGCCTCCCAAAGCATGGCAGGTGTTGCATGGATGCAGTTCTGTATGGACTGAGTCAGGGGAGGGAGAGAAGGAGATGTTAGGAGTTAGATGTTAGGATGGAATCAGAAGCCAGTAGGAGTTCTGGAAGAAGATGGAAGATGAGCGGGTGGTGTTGAAGGGTGGGGTCCTAGAGAATCCATGAGAATAGCAACCTTGGCTATGAAATGGGAGAGGAAGAAATCGTGTGTGTGTGTGTGTGTGTGTGTGTGTGTGTGCGCGTGCGCACGCACGTGTGTGTGCACATGCATGTCTGCCTGTGTGTGTGTAAAATGTAGATCTCAGATCATCCTACTGAACCAAATTCTAAAGAGGAGAGTCACTTGTTCTTTGGAAGACCAGACTTGGGGAGACGCCAGGCTATAAATCTTGGAGGGGAGGACTTTACTGCCACTTAGAAATCAGGCCCAAAACACCCATAATGTTTGTCAGTCCACATGTAAGTGTTCTTAAGTAAGTGTGCAGGGTGTGGGGGATGAAATATGGCAGGTATTTGATTTAAAAAGCCTGCACAGATTTAATGTCCTGATAAAATGTATTAAATCTTTTAAGGTTTTAATGAATCTAGTATGTGTTTCATAAATCAAGAACTCCGCTAAGCCGTCTCCTGGTTTAATAAGAGTAAACTAGGAAATTGCTCTGAGCAGAAGCAAAATACATTTATATCACACTGAAAAGTAATAGATTTTTAAGCTGAAGGGGGTCTTTCTGGGCTTTTTATGCTGTTTGCTTATTACGTTGCTCCAACTCCTTCAAATATTAAACCACAGGCAAACACGTGCTTAACTGTATCAAGATGTGAACTAGCACAAAGGTAAATATGATTTGTAAGAGAGCAGAAAACAAAGCCAGTATTTCCTTGCCCTTAGACCTAGGACCAGGTTGATTTCTGAACTAACACCTGGCTTTGTGTATCTAAGGGTAAGGTGGTTGGTTAAAAATCATTATTAACTGTTAGTAAACCACCTTTCCCAAGTTCTCTCACTGCTCCATCCTCACCGCTTAGCACATCTGCCAGATTGAAGCCGTGAGTGTGTGAAATACTTCTTGAGTTTTATAGCTGACTGAGGAATGGCCTTGTTAAACTTACTGGCCAGACCATCCAAAGCAAGTGTTCAGAGCTCCTTCTGTCGTCTTAAACCCAAGGGCTATAATGTGTGCTTTTGTTCTTTTTCCTTTCTTCCAGTCCCACTGCTCAAGCTCCAGTGGGAATGGGAAGGGGGCTTTGGGGGTCTGGGTATACCAGATAGGTATCTCTGAGCAGGATGGGGCTTGAAGCCCCACTACGAAGCTTCCTGGGTGGATGGGCAAGAATCTGGAGTGAGATGGTGGTTCGGGGAGTTGGGGGGAGGTGGCGTTGGAGGAATGAAGGGGGGTGGGGCTTGAACATTCCAGTGCACAAAAGCTGGCAGGGCTTGTGAGCTCTGCAGGGGAGGGAGCAGGCCGTAAAGCTCAGTGTGGAGAAGCCTGTCCAACCTCATTAGCTGTCACGGGCAACAATACTGATCTGGCAATAGAGGCGATTCCAAACCTGTTGGTCATTAATCACCCGCCTGACAGTTGCGAATGGAAGTGGAAAAACCTCATCCCCCCTCCACCCTTCCCCTCCTCCTGGGCCCAGCTCTGGAGTTTAGAGTTACCTCTTGGTGTATATGTGGTTCGCGGCTGTGTGCGGGGTCCTTTTCCTTCGGCTTTTTTAGGGGGTCATTTTCAGCATGGAGAGGCTACAAGTTGGCCAGAGCCTGGCAGACAGCGCTTCTGGGCACAGAGACTGGGGAGCAAGAAAATGAAAGTTAGTGGCTTCCAGAGTGGGGACCTCGGCTGTGACCCCTCTGGGATCCAGGACTGGGTCTTGGCAAGCCCATGGAATCAGGGGAGGCTGCCGTCAGTGCCCAGGCCTCATCTTTCCACACCCGCCCCCTCGTTCCCTGGCACACCCTTCTCTCCCTCCTTCAGCCACTGGGTGCCAACATATTTTCCTTTATGCTCCTTTTCCCTGCCCTTCCCAACCCCCACCCACCATTCCCAAATAAGCGGATCCTGCTCATAGGAAAAGTTTTCATCTGTTTTTTTTCTGTCTCACTCTGAAGTTAAGCTCCGTTTCCTTTCTTGGAGGGACTTGGCTTTTCAGCCTCGGCTCTAGCTGTGACAGTGGGGGAACGGTGATGTTTGGTAATAGTGATATTGATATTTCATCTGTGAGAGTGGAGTCGGGGCAGTAGGAGAAGAGGCCTGGTCTGCACAGGTGCCTCTGAAATCGACCAATGGGAAGTGCTGCTTAGTTTCTTGGTCTGTCTTAAGTTTTCTACGTAAAGGAGGGAAGAAAAGAGAGAAGGGGCAGAGGACAGTTATAGACCGCACTAGGATGGGGACTTCTGTTACTCAAGTTTCTTTTCTTTTTCTTTTTTTTTTTAAGATCGAGTCTCACTCTGTCACCTAGGCTGGAGCGCAGCAGCATGATCTCGGCTCAGGGCAACCTCTGCCTCCTGGGTTCAAGCGGTTCTCCTGCCTCAGCCTCCCAAGTACCTGGGGTTATAGGCACCCACCACCATGCTAATTCTGTTTCTCAAGTTTCTTGCATGTTCTTCAGTGCATGTGAGCCAGGTTACATTTAAGAGAGAAGATCCAACTTCTGCTCAGTTTCCTAGGATGTGGAGGGAGGAGGGGTATAAGGAATTAGCCAGGAATTCCTGAAGGAGTAACGTCAAGATAATTTACACACTTCTCAGCTCTTCTGTTGGCAGGCATGAGAGAGTAACGTGGGTGCTAACAACCAAGGAAGGGGAGAAGTTGCAACAAAAATTGTCAAGGGGTCTAAATTAGTCCTCTAGTTTTCCCAAACGTTTCTACGTTCCGTCGGTGCAGAGGACCCTTGGCCTTGGCCACGTTTGTTGGTGCTGTCTGCTCTCTCCATAGCTTCTCTGACCTCTTGCTACTCGTTATAGTTTCAGGCAGAAGATGGACACATCTGTCCATGGTTGATCTGTCCAGGCTACGCTGACAAAGACAAATTCCCATGACATACTCATAGAAACAAAATGGAAAGGAGGGATTGTTACAACTATACCATTTTAGCCTGGCTTCCCAATCTCTCATATACCCCTTTATCCATTTTTTTTTTTTTTTTTTTTTTTTTTTGAGACGGAGTTTCGCTCTTGTTAACCAGGCTGGAGTGCAATGGCGCGATCTCGGCTCACCGCAACCTCCGCCTCCTGGGTTCAGGCAATTCTCCTGCCTCAGCCTCCTGAGTAGCTGGGATTACAAGCACGCGCCACCATGCCCAGATAATTTTTTGTGTTTTCAGTAGAGACGGAGTTTCACCATGTTGACCAGGATGGTCTCGATCTCTTGACCTCGTGATCCACCCGCCTCGGCCTCCCAAAGTGCTGGGATTACAGGCTTGAGCCACCGTGCCTGGCCTTTTTTTTTTTTTTTTTTTTTGAAACAGAGTCTTGCCTCTGCCACCCAGGCTGGAGTGCAATGGCACAATCTCAGCTCACTGCAACCTTCGCCTCCCAGGTTTAAGTGTTTCTTGTGCCTCAGCCTCCCCAGTAGCTGGGACTACAGGTGTGAGCCACCATGCCTGGCTAATTTTGTATTTTTTAGTAGAGATGGGGTTTCACTATGTTAGCCATGTTGGTCTGGAACTCCCGGCCTCAAGTGATCCACCCACCGGGGCCTTCCAAAGTGCTGGGATTATAGGCGTGAGCCACTGTCCCTGGCCTTGGCACTATTAAGAAAAGAGAAACAAAAGCTGTGGTTCTTAGCTGGGGAAATGACATACGTGCACACAGAACAGTTCTATGTAAAGGCCAAATGATCTGAAACAAAACATAGGAGCTACCAGGGCTCAGAAGAGGGCTAGAGTTATCAGGGAAAGTGGTGAGGAGGAAGGGGACTTGGACTGAGCATTGGTGGGTGGAGAGCATTTAGGTAAGTGGGCAGGAAAGGTGAGGGACTTCAGGCAGATGGCCAGTGTGAGCAGATGAGTAGAGACTGGAACGGCAGGGCCTGCGCTGAGGACAAGGAGAGGGTTTCCTTGACTGGATGGGAGGCTCGGCGCAGGCCCTTTCTCCTCCTCCAGCCAGCACTCATTTGTTCCTGCAGCATCACTGTGAGTTCCACTTAGTCCTGGACCGCTGTGTACTGCCCAGTCACTTTCATGTGTATGTCTCTAGTTCTCTCAATCAGATATACAAGCCACTGGAAGGCAGGAAGTATATTTTATATACGTTGGAACTTACTCAACACAGTGCAATGCAATTCAAGTTAATTCGATTCAATGCAATCCAATCCAATTCAATCCAACATGTTTTTATTGAGTACCAGCTTTTCAGCTGTTCTAGGCTTTTGAGATTCAATTAAACAGACAAAGATACTGGCCTTCCCGACTTTAGTTCTCACAGGAGCATACAGACAAAAAGAAATACTATAAATAATATTAGATAAGTTGGATAGTATGGTGGAAGGTAGTAAGTACCAGGGAAGAGATGGAGAGAAGGCCAGGGTCCTGGGCTAAGGAGTGAGTGTGTATATGCATGTCTGTGTGTTATTAAGTGGAAATTATCGAATGAAGGTATTAAGCAGAAGATGTTATGAAAAAGAAGGCACTATTAATAGGGGTATTAAATAGAAAAATCACAGCATGTCTCATGGAGAAGGTGATAATTTACCAAAGACGTAAAGGGAATGAGGAAGCTGGCCTAGTGGATTTCTGGAAGAGACGTTTCCAGACAGAGGACAGCGAGAGAATGGCCCTACACAGGAGCATCCTAGTGTGTTTGAGGGATGGCAGGGAGGCCATGTGGCTGGAGCCAGAGCCACTGAAGGAGGCGGTGGGGTGGGAGGAGATTGGAGAGGGCGCAGGGAGCTAGGTCTTAGAAGCCATGCTGTGGACTTTGGCCACTCCTTCAAGAGAGACGGAGCCTTCACAGGCTTTCAGACCAATGAATGACATAGTCTGACTTCTGTTTCTAAAAGATCTCTTGGCTGCAGTGTTGAGAATAGGTGATGGGGGTTGGGAGGTGGAAAGGGGGACCAGGGTAGATCTGTCATGAGACTGATTTTTACAGACGTGGCTGAACCTATGCAACTCAGAGAAAGAAGACCTTCAGCCTATTCATGTTGGAAGGCTACACGAGATTCTCATATGCTCATTAAGAGCTTCATTATGAGACACACATTATTTAGAGTTTTGACCTGACTGAATAAGCCTGATCATCCAGCTTGTTCACCAGGGTTATCTTCAAGAAACATTTCCCCTGCTAATCACCACATAAAGATTTGTAATTGTCAGTTAAAAATCTGGTGGTTTGAAGATGGCTTTCAAAACATTCCCAAGAGTTTTGAGCAAGGCAACATGTTAGAATGTGTGTATATCCTTCCAAAGGGACATTTTGAATGGGCAATGTTTATTTTGATCTCTAAGTCCTGCTATGTTTGCTTTAACAATTTTCATACTTTATAGTATCTCTTCTGTGTTCTCTTACCATAGAGTGGAGGGTTGGCATTCAGCACATTGCCTAAGAGGAGGCTGGGGAATGGAATTAAGCCTTGGGCATGTTGTTATGTATTAATTTATAAGGCAGTATTAAAAATTCCATTTGAATTTCTAAATCGAACTAATTTTGAGGGGCCAAACTATTTTTTTTCCTCGAGAGAAGTAAGACATATATTTAAAATAGGTTCTTCCCTAAGAAGCAAAAGGTAACCACTTTTCTGTTAAGCTTCTTATAAGTCCATTTAAATGAATGAGCAACCAGGGGGTTGTAAGTTGGTCCCCAAGTCAACAAGATTACTGAGCAGCTTCTGTGGATGTTAGTTATTGAGGGGGGATAAAAAAAAATAGAGGCCAGGCATGGTGGCTCACGCCTGTAATCCCAGCAGTTTGGGAGGCCAAGGTGGGCGGATCACCTGATGTCAGGAGTGCGAGACCAGCCTGGCCAAGAGAGTGAAACCCCGTTTCTACTAAAAATACAAAAATTAGCCAGGCATGCTGGCACGTGCCTGTAATCCCAGCTACTTGAGAGGCTGAGGTACGAGAATCGCTTGAACCCGGGAGGAGGAGGTTGCAGAGAGCTGAGATGGGCCCCACTGCACTGCTGTCTCAGAAAAAAAAAAAAAAAAAAAAGAAAACTTTATTTTGCCCTCATGTTGCTCCCAATCTGGCAGAAAAAGAAGCATGGAAACAAAATGACACTAGAAATTAGAGAAAAGGAGACTCTTGGCCAAGTGTGGTGGCTCATGCCTGTGATCCCAGCACTTTGGGAGGCCAAGGCAGGAGGACTGCTTGAGGCCAGGAGTTTGAGACCAGCTTGGGCAACATGGCAAAACCCAATTTCTCCAAAAATTCCAAAAAAATTAGCTAGGCATGGTGGCACATGCCTGTAGTCCCAGCTACGCAGGAGGCTGAAGCGGGAGAATTGCTTGAGCCCAGGAGGTTGAGGCTGCAGTGAGCTGTGATTGCACCACTGCACTCCAACCTGGATGACAGAGCAGGACTCTGTCTCAAAAAAATAAACAAAACTAAATAAAGGAGACACCTTACTCCTATGTGTGCCATATATGTGTGTAGTTTTAAACCTTTTCAATGTTTTATAACATCCGTGATCTCATTTCATTTAGGCCTAATCATAATTATCTGAAATAAAGTCACAGAGAGTCACAGCTGCAAAGGACTTCAGAGATTATCCATTTCATCCAAGCCCTTGATTCTATATGGAAGAAACTGCGGCACAGATATGGGAAGTGCTTTGTCGTGGTCACAACAGGAAGCAGAGGAGCTAGAACGGGAACCTGGGGCCTTTGGTTCCATTCCACATTTTTTCTCACACTTTCAGAATGGTGAGGGCTATAGGATTGAGGTTCCAGGAGTATTTAATGAAGCCATTGTGAGGCCAGTTGGGATGAGGTGATGGTTCAGGATGAGGATTTGGGGGGTGGGGTCGCTGCAGGGACATCCTGAGGCCCAGAGTCACAAGGGAAAACATTAGCTTTTTTAAATTTTTGAGATGGAGTTTTGCTCTGTCACCAGGCTGGAGTGCAGTGGCATGATCTCAGCTCACTGCAACCTCCACAGTGATTCATTCAAGTGATTCTCCTGCCTCAGCCTCCTAAGTAGGTGGGACTACAGGTGCCCGCCACCATGCCTGGCTAGTGTTTTATGTTTTTAGTAGAGATGGGGTTTCACCATGTTGGGCAGCATGGTCTCAATCTCCTGACCTTGTGATCCGCTCATCTCGGACTCCCAAAGTGCTGGAATTACAGGCATGAGCCACCGCACTGGGTGAACATTAGCCTTTTTTTCTTTTTCTTTTTTTTTTTTTTTTTTTGAGATGGAGTCTCCCTCTGTCCCCCAGGCTGGAGTGCATTGGCCTGATCTAGGCTCACTGCAACCTTTATCTCCTGGGTTCTAGCGATTCTCCTGCCTCAGCCTCCTGAGTATCTGGGATTACAGGCATGCACCACCATTCCCAGCTAATTTTGTATTTTTAGTAGAGATGGGGTTTCACCATGTTGGTCAGGTTGGTTTCAAACTCCCAACCTCAGGTGATCTGCCTACCTGCTGCCTGCTGCGATTATAGGAGTGAGCCATCGTGCCTGGCCTACACAATGATTTTTTAAAAAGTCATTATATATATATTTAAAATAGAGAAAAATTAGAAATAGCTTAACAGTATCATGCAGTCATCAAAATGCTGAGGCTGTATGAAAAAAATGCTTAAAACATAATGGTTAGCGAAAAAAGCAGGATATTATATATATAGTGTTTTATTTATATATGTATATATTGTACTCTATTCTTTTTTTTTTTTTAGACAGGGTCTCACTCTGTCTCCCAGGCTGGAGTGCAGTGGTGCAATCATGGCTCATTGCAGCCTCCACCTCCTGGGCTCAGGCGATTCTCCCACCTCAGGCTCCGGCAGCTGGGATTTCACGTGTGTGTCACTGTATCTGGCAAATTTTTTTTTTTTTTTTGAGACGGAGTTTCGCTCTTGTTACCCAGGCTGGAGTGCAATGGCACGATCTCGGCTCACCGCAACCTCCGCCTCCTGGGTTCAGGCAATTCTCCTGCCTCAGCCTCCGGAGTAGCTGGGATTACAGGCACGCACCACCATGCCCAGCTAATTTTTTGTATTTTTAGTAGAGACGGGGTTTCACCATGTTGACCAGGATGGTCTCGATCTCTTGACCTCGTGATCCACCCGCCTCGGCCTCCCAAAGTGCTGGGATTACAGGCTTGAGCCACCGCGCCCGGCCAATTTTTTTTTTTTTTTTTAAATAGAGATCGGGTCTTGTGATGTTGTCCACACTGGCCTTGATCTCCTGGCCTCAAGCAATCCTTCCTCCCCAGGCCTCCCAAAGCACTGGGATTACAGGCATGAACCATCACACCTGGCTGTGTTTCTTGTGGTAGCAAAGTAGAAAAATGTTGGGACTACCACACACCAGGTAATTGGGCCAGGCCTGGCTTTTGTGTGTAGCATCTTGGCCATGGTGGTTAGAGCAGCACTTCTCACACTTAAACTTTACTCAGGGGATTTTTCTAAATGCAGATTTAAAGTAATGGATCGGGATGGGGCCTATGAGTCTACATTTCATTTTAAAAAGTTTTATTTTTTGGCTGGGCACTGTGGCTCACACCTGTAATCCCAGCACTTTGGGAGGCTTAGGAGGGCAGATCACTCGAAGCCAGGAGTTCAAGACCAGTCTGGCCAACATGGTGAAACCCTGTCTTTACTAGAAATACAGAAATTAGCTGGGCGTGGTGGTGCATGCCTGTAGTCCCTGCTACTCGGGAGGCTGAGGCATGAGAATCGCTTGAACACAGGAGGTGGAAGCTGCAATGAGCCAAGATTGGGCCACTGCACTCTAGCCTGGGTGACAAAGCGAGACTCTGCTCAAAAAAAAAAAAAAGTTTTATTTTTTAATTAACACATAATAATTGTACATATTTATGGGGTCCATGTGATATTTTGATACCTGCATACAATGTGTCATGATCAAATCAAGGTAATGTGCATATCCATCACCTCAAACATTTATCATGTCTTTATGTTGGGAACATTGCAAATCCTCTCGTAGCTATTTGAAAAGATACAATACATTCTTAAGAGTTAATGGTCTTCACCGTACAGTGCCATACAACACTAGGACTTATTCCTGCTATCTCCTAAGTAAGCTGTAACTTTGTATCTGTTAGCCAACCTCTCCCTCCGCAACCCCTGCCCTCCTCTGCCTCTAGTGACCACAGTTCTACTGAGCATGCGTTTCTAAAAGGCTTCCAGGCGATGGTGACACTACTGGTTTGAAGGCCATACTTAGAGGAATGAGCCTTTCAAAGGGGAATTCGTGGGAATGAATTTATCCCAAACCTCACCTGGATAATGGTTTTCCCAGAGCTTTCTACCGAGGGTCCCATTTTTCAGACCCCTTTGTGTGCTTTCCGCCTTTTCTGGGCGCTTGGGTCCCTGTTGACCCCCGAGCACGTGCGGCACTCACGGTCTGCTCTGCTCACTCGGCCCCCCGGTGTCCCATGTCTGTGCTGCATTGAGTCCATTTGTTATCAGTCCTTCCTCTGCGAAGCGGCCAGCTCCCTGTACTTCACCTGCTTCTGTTCTTGGAAGGCCCAGCCATGACACTGTGGGGACAGCCAGGATCCCACGACACTGATTCCTTGACTCCATCTGCCCTTGTGCAGCCAGCAGCTCCTTTCTTGGGCCCTGTCACCTTGCTCAGTTGGCCCAGAGAGCCCCTGCTGGGCCAGTCTCTCTGTCCCGATTGCCTGGGACTCTGTTTTTAGAACAATAAGGTGGTTATGTTCATCTCCTAAGAAAGCATTGAGTTCCGGAATGGGGGAAACATACTTCTGTCTTGGCAGAGGAGGAACCACCCAGCCAGGCGGGCCAAGGCCCCATTGATCAGAGTCCAGTGAAAAAGTGGCTTCTCAGGAGCCCTGGATGCTGGCCCACTTCGAGACAACTTCTTCTTTCAACTTCCTTTCATGTGTTTTAACTTCACAAACATGCCAGTTTCCAGCTGCCCCTCAGAGACAGCGGCGGTGATGGTGGTGGGAAGGACACCATGGCAGGGGTCAGATGGAGTGGGGTGGGGAGGGTGGTGGTGGGGGGGGTTCACCCTATTAGGGACGTTTCTCTTGGGGACCAAGGTTATATCACAGCTGACTCATGCGATAACACAGTTACAAGCATTAAAATATAGATGGCCGCGAAGGGCACAATGACAGAGACCTCGGCCCTTTCTTTTGCTCTTTATATCTCTCTGTTCTCTCTCTCTCTCTCTCTCTCTCTCTTTATCTCTCTCTCTCTCTCTCTCTCTCTCTCACACACACACACACACACACACACACACACAAATACTTAACCAATTAAGTCCGTCGAGTGCTATTTGCAGATGATGGTGTGGAATTGTGCTGGAGTTGTGTCCGGCCTCATTAAATGTCAGGATTAACAATACAGCAGTTGGCAATCAAGGCTGCTCTGTGGCTGTTAGTCATTAATCACCATCTGACAGTCCTGAATTGGAAACGAGGAGCCTGTTCACATGTGCTCTGTGTACCTAGTTACCCTCTTGGTGATCAGTCTCGGAAAAGTTTTCTTTGACTCTCTGCCTGCAAGGGCCTCTGTCCTGGCAAGGAGGCACAGGGTCACTGGGCTTTCTCCCCTCTCCTCCTCCTCCTCCTCACTGGGAAAAGAAGTTGAGGTCCTGTAGAAACAGGGGCGAGAGGAGTGTATTGCTTTTGGCCTGCTCATTCCCTCTTAGGCCTGTTTTATGTAGCCTTGTTTTTATATTCTGGCCCGATGGCCAGGAAAATTCTTTTTCTCCCTGAAGAAATCCTGAAAGACAGCAGGGAGCTCGGTCCTGTTCCAAGAGCTGCTGGGGTAAGTTTGTAAAGTGCGGTCCTTCCCAGCTGCTCAGGTGTGGACCTCTCTACGAGAAGGGCCACTCGACTCATTTCAGGTACTGCCTCCAGCAACTCGGGCCTGACTTTGAGCTGGTCATCGGGATCTCTCTGCAGAATCGAGAGGAAGGACTAGTTCTCTTTGGGGTCCATTCTCAGGGCCTTGCTTCATTCATTCATGCATTCAAGAAATATCTGTTGAGTGCCCGTTACCTGCCAGGCACAGACTAGGCACGGAGGCTCCAGAAGTGAATGCACAAGCAAAGCCTGGGGCTTCATGGTAGTTCCCTTTGTGGGGCAGATAAGCATCTTCCGCAGACCCCCACATTCTGGCAGGAAAGTGCCCTAGCCCTGGACTCTCACTGTGCATTGCCTGGCTGCCAGGCCTTCCCTGGGTGCCAATCCTGAGGCTGCCTTTCCTGGGAAAATGTTCTCATTTCAGAGCCTGCCCAACCTGGCTCCTTCTCCCCTTCAGTGGTCTCCTGTCTCATTCCCTTCAGATCCTGCCTTTAGTTTTCTAGACGCTGGTTCTTCCCAAACATGTTGGGGGCACACTGATGTCTTAACAGGGCTGTCTTTTCTGTCCATCCCTTTCCTGGGCATGTATTATGGCATTTTTTCAGGACTTCATTCCTTAACTCCAAGGACTAACTTGAGGGTGTCATTTCAGCTGCCACGGCGAGTTGGTAGAGAAGAAGGTTAACTAACCACCCTGTCCCCAAGGGGTCCTCTCTGCCCACCTCTAGGGTTTGTAGCCACGGCCAGAGTCCTCAGTGTGAGTCCTCTTCCCTCGGGAACTTCCTCCCTGTTCTGGACAGATGCCCACCACCATGCTCGGCTTATTTTTGTCTTTTTAGTAGAGATGGTGTTTCACCATGTTGGCCAAGTTGGTCTTGACCTCCTAACCTCAGGTGTTCTGCCTACCTCAGCCTCCCAAAGTGCTGAGATTACAGGTGTGAGCCACTGCGCTCGGCCTCTGATTAGGGTTTCTATTTTTCCTCCTTTGAGTTTCACCCCCAGGTCTCTTCCCTCGCTTACCTGATGACTTCAGTTCAAAGACATTGACACACATTTTAGCCTGTTAGTGGTTTTCGATGAATGGAACGCTGCAAGCATTTGTCAGTGACCCATCACATGACTGGCACTGTCCTGGGCACAGAGTACACAGAGAGGAATAAAATGCCTTTCTTGCTTTTAAGGAACATATGGTCCAGTGGAGGGAGAGAAGAGGCACACCCAAAGAGAAGGACGGCGCAAGGGGAAACCGTAGCTGCTCAGGGTGGAAATGAGAGCTATGACTATGTGAGGTGGAAGCACGCGCTGAGGAAGCAGGAGCAACTCACTGCTTGAGCTCGGTGTCCAGGAAACAGTGAGTAGTGCGCTTGGCTCCCGCGATGGGTTCTGGTAGGGGCAGTGGAAAGGTACATTGCGGACCTCTGGGGAGGACCAGAGTGCTAGGTGAAAGATTTGGCCCTGTTAGACAATGCGGAGCCAGTGAAGGCCTATGCGCTTCCAAAAGTAAGACACATGCTCTTGTATATTTCATTCAACACTAACCTTTCTGGAAGAGAGAAGGCTTGAGTTGCTCTGAAGCTTCACACTCCCAGCAAGAACCTTGTCATTATAAACTGATTTGTGTGATTATTTGAATTGTTGTCTCCATGAGCAGTGGCCCATGCCACAGCTGCAGGAGTTGGAGAAGTTCTGGCTCTTTTCTGGAGTTGCTCTGCGACGCGCTGAGAGACCCCATCCTGCACAGGCTCAGTCTCCGTTCCTCTGCTCCCTTGCCTTGGTGCTCAGATGGCATGCCTTGACCACCATTTTTTGTTTGTTTGTTTGTTTGTTTGAGACGGAGTCTTGCTCTGTTGCCCAGGCTGGAATGCAGTGATGTGATCTCGGCTCACTGCAACCTCCACCTCCCGGGTTCAAGTGATTCCCCCATCTCAGACTCCCAAGTTGCTGGGACTACAGGTGTGTACTACCACGCCTAGCTAATTTTTATATTTTTAGTAGAGATAGGGTTTTACCTTGTTGTCCAGGCTGGTCTCGAATTCCTGACCTCAAGCGATCAGCCCGCCTTGGTCTCCCAAAGTGTTGGGATTACAGGCGTGAGCCACCATGCCTGACAACCTGGACCACCCTTGGCTTCCTTTCCCACCCCCAGCTCTTCCCTCTTCTGATTCCTCCTGGGCTTTGCTGAATGGGCTTGAGGGGTGTAAGTGAGAGTGGGAGGAGACACAGCAGTGGGCATAGCTCTCGAGGCATGCGGGGATGAGGGAGGCTCTTCGCCCTAATAGTGGCTCTCAATCCGGGTTGGTACCACTGCCAAGGGCATCTGGATTATTTTGATGGTCCTCATGGTTGAGAGGTGTTACAAGCAATTGGTGTCTTGAGACTAAGGATGCTAAACCTCTACCCTGCACGGAATGGTCCTGCCCAATAACGAACTGTCTTGCCCTAATATCAACAGTGTCTCCTTTGAGAAATACTGTGGGATCAGTGAAAAACAGGGACTCTGATGCTGTATCCCTCTGAGGCCTTAGACACTCAGCAGTTTCTGTCCCTAGAGCTCCTGAGTTACATGGAGAGAAAGCAGAGAGGCCCATCCCTGACCATCAGGGCATAGGATGCTGAAGGACAGCCTGGGTCACCGCCCCCTTCTGTTCCTTCTCAGCCCTCCCTTTGTGCCCCACTCTCTGCACAGTTCTCTGGCAGGCTCTGCTCACTCGGCCAGGCCTCACTCAGCTGTGATGCCTTTTTCCATATGCAGAGGCTGCTCCTGCTTCAGAAACACGAGAGAGGGCCGGGGGAGCAGTGCAGCGGAAGGGGCTGTGGTGGAGGTGAGGGGCGGCCTGGGGAAGGGGAAAGGTTTTTCTGGGGGTGTCACCATGAGGGGAAGCACTGGGGGAAGTCCACGGCAACACGTTCTAGCCTGTTTGGAGGCCGGCTGTTGGCACCAGGAGAAATCCATCCCACAGAGCCAACCCTCATTAATCATCCGGGCGGCTGAACTGCCAGCTCCTTTCAAGATCTTTCAAGAAGGGTTTTCACCCAAAATAGAGTTGAAAATGTGCTGGGCCCTACTCAGAATCTCATCAGTCTGGGCATTATGGGAAGTGTCAGGCGGACTGTGACAGACAAGGCCCACTCTGTTCAAGGGGTCCTGACTCCCACAGCCTGTCATATCAAGCGCCTGATCAAATTTGACAGCTTCATTTGTACCTACAGAATAGATAAAAGGGGCTGTTCATTGAAACAAATGGAGGGGAAGGGGTGGGGGAGGGAAGGGAGGTGAGAGTGAGAGGGAACGTGTGTGTGTGTGTGTGTGTGTGTGTGTGTGTGTGTGTGTGTGTGCTGGGGGAAGAATGGCATTGGGGAAGGGGCAGAAAGGGGAAGATTATGGTGAGGGGCAAGGGGATGCCAAGGAGGATTCTAAGATCACTTTCTTCTCCAGCACTTTCAAAGAGGGGAGCAGGGTCCCAGGCAACAGGTGAGTATCAAGAGGGGATGGGAGCGAAGGCCCCACCTTTCAGTGCGACCATCACATGCCTCCTGAGACCTACTCTCTGTGCTCTGTGCACTGTGCTCTGAAACAGTCACAGAGCCGGGGGGGTGGGCCCTGGGGACAGGGGAGCCCAGGGTGAGTGGCTAGGACTAGAGGAGTCGGGCCGCCAGCATGATGCAGGTTTCAATTGCACGCCCTATGTTACCTGAGCAGAGCCTTACTTTTCTCCGTGGCAGGCTCTGAATTGTGCCCCTTCTCTGTAGTGAGGATGTCGCCCCTTTGACTGGGGTGCTGGATGGCTGCACCTCTGCGTGTGGCCCTGACGCCCTTACTTCCTTAAATTATGCTTAGGGCACCTTTGTGCTTTC